TTCTTCTTTACTGCTTAAACAGACCCCTTAATTTCTTGTCTTGAGCTGTACTTTAAAACTTTCCTGAACCACTGACAGACCGCGTTCAGCTCTAAAATACACATTTTACTAGCTACTACAGCATCCGCGAGACTGCCTAATGTCTTTAGTACTGTAACCATCACTCGGTTCAGCATTTCTAAGATCCGGTCAGATGTTAATAGTGCCTTCCTTCTACATAGCTCGACAACTGTGCCATGTGACCCCTCTTGGTTAAACAAGTTGTCTCAGAACACACGCATAAACATTTACTTACGAAACTATAAAAAATATCATAACACCAATGAATTTAAATTTTTCGACACGATAAATAACTAAAGCGGAGCAGTGAAAAGGCCAGGACAAAACCAGTTCTAAATCCTGAACATATCCAAGAATGGGAACAGTCCATCAGAGGCTATGAATAACACAAGGAAAATAAACAGCTTTACACTTCAGCAATTACAAACTTGATCTATGAGATAACCTTCTTGATAAAGATGCATTACGTAAATTACGGCAATTTTTAAGAATATTGGATAAGTTTGTCCTAACTTTCAACTTATATTTCTCATAACGGAAAGATGCACAGAGCCATGAAATTTTCAGACTATCAGTTAGCTCAGTTGAATTTATCCTTCGTCTCTAGTACAAAGCTTCATTCTGCCGAAGGGCTAACGCTCGAAACGTCAGCTTTGAAACTCTTTGCGGTGGCCAATTTACGATATCAACTCAGTTGATCATACCAAATTACCTTCTCGCACAAAGCAGCGAACTAAGCATGTCACTGAATTTCTTCGAGGTCTCAAAGAAAGTACTTGGGGTATAAAGGGAGGGAATAGCGATATTCTTCCAATTCTACTAGTTACCCCGTTTGCCAGTATCCTCCTTGTGAGAAACTGGTTATTACAACTCAACTACTCTCATCAGCCTGAATTTAGGTGGATAAACAATGATCACTGTAACCTGAGGTCATCGAACACGTACGCAACCAAACCACTCCTATTCTGGTAGATATCAGAAGAAATTGGCAAAGTACCTTTAAAAAGTTCAGTTTTTGGACCGGTAGGAAAAAAATAAAACAAAATAACAAATATAAAAACAAGAATAATGAAATGTGCAGAACGGCCGTGGGAATTTTTGAAAGCTCTGGGAATGTTTCATTCCCCAATTGTTGTTGTATTTCTCTAAATATTAAAAATTTTCGTTTCTGACGAGAGAATTTCGATTCAGCTGCCACAGGGGTAGTTACTGTTTATGACTCTCAGAAATCACATTTGTAGGAATCCTCGCTTAAAATGAAGTTTTAAAACGTTTTAAGATCCTCTGAATTTAACATGTAACTTCCGGTGAAAAATGTTTGCCGTCGTTTTTTAGCCAATATTGATCTTGTATGACAGACAGCGAAAACCTTTTTACACAACAATCAAAGCATTTTGGTAGAAAATATTTTGAGCCGGGGCTTATAGATTGTGATTACGATGTCCTTTAGTAATATCTAAATTACAATTATTCCTTGCGAGTTACATGAAAAAAAATCAGCTGGCATCTATTGTTTTGAAATATGTACAAACAGTAAAAACGAGAAAAACGGAATAATTAGATTTAGATTATCATAACATGTGTAGAAACCTTTACTTTAATGAGATGGTCGCACCGTGTAAGTTCTAAACGTCGTAAAAATGTTTGCAAATAAATTTTGATTGCAACATTTTTTATCACGTAAATGAATTAAGAAACTGGTAGGTTAATGTTTAGTGTTCGTTTATTTTCTAGAGTGTAATCACCAGTTGTTTGATTGGACATCACCAGCCTGGTTTGAGCACTAATGGCACAATTAACACGTCATGTCTGTATAAGTGGACAGCAGGCGTCAAAGTCACGCGCTGTTGTCCCGCATATCGCGGAGTTAATTGTTTATGAAAACGCATAATCGATGTCTCGTCTGACCAAGTTTCCATCTCGAATTTTGTCATAGTTTTGATTAGTTGGTAACAGGACTTCGTGTCGTCCAATTCTGTCTGTAATCCAACTAACTGGGTAATGCGCCGATCAATTCGAGGTTTCAACATTCCCCGCCCCCGCCGCTGAGCATTTGACTGTCGTCCGTACCGGGGTGGGGTGAAGAGCTTAAACCAGAGGCGTAAAGTCTTTCCAGCAGAATAAACGTGGTTTATCTTTTGATATGGAGGTTTTAAAACATACGATACTGATAAAAGGAAGATCAGATCCAGCATTTGGGTGAGGAATTTAAACACAATTTTGGCCTCAGGAGGCGGGAATTTGAGCGAACCAATCTTGAAAAGTTCAAATGCATGGGGGCTGCTCTTTGCATTTGACGCTTGAATTGATCGACGCATGAACGCTTGACTGATTGATTTTCGGGACAAGAATAAACCCGTTGGTAACATATTAGCGGACTATGTCAAACAAGGCTATCTGAGTAAAAGTTTCGTAAACTCGTCTCTCCTGCGTTTGAGATTATTTTGAACTGAAGTAACTCAGAGTGGTTTCTTTACATTAATTCAAAGCAGAATCGCGAGCTCTTTTGCATTCCGTTACTTGCGGGATGGTTTCTACTCACATGTACACCTGGCCGATTATTCTTTTGGCGCTTTCGTCGCATTTTATCTCAGTTAGTCGCAGTCATGGTAAGTAGTAAGCCTAAAAATGCAAGCAGAGAAGCTTTTCACAGAAGCTGAAATAGGACACCGTTGTTATGCAAAAGTGAAACAATCATTCTCTAAAAACGTTTCTCAACGACTCTATTTGGCAGGTCGGATTAGATAATCGTTATGTATTCTTTTACGACCTGTGTTTGTTTTCCGAGTTGAAACTTGAGGAAGCCCTTTTTCTTCGAGGGATCCATCCAAGTAAAGTAGGTTGAAGAGTTAAGATGAATCAGACTAACATTTTTTTCTCGGAATGAGCTCGGTTGTATTACTCGGTTTATTGATTGCTTATCGATTTGGAAAGGTGAACCCGATGTTCGTGAAGGCTTTGTGAAGAAGGAGCGAAAATGGTGGCAAATATTGATAGCTTAAATGAAACAAACTTTAGCAATCCATGCCAGCTGGTACTGGATCGTACAACGATGTAAGTGAGTTAGTTGTTGAGGTAATGAAAATATCTGGAATCGCTGACTATCGAAGCCGCAATTAGGAAAGGTATTTGCGTGGGTAAATTGTATGTTCACTCTCAGTTTTTTGTTATTTACGGTTCGGTAAAAGCCAAGTTTTTTCGTTTGTCTCACGATGTAGTCACGTGTGATGTAGATCGCGACGTTTCGACTGCGTATACTGCTAGTCTTCTTCAGTCTTCATCGCCTGAAGAGGACTAGCAGTATGCAGTCGAAACGTCGCGATCTACATCACACGTGACTACATCGTGAGACAAACGCAAAAACTTAGCTTTTATTGTTATTTACCAAGATGAATAACCACAGCCTTTTTACAGTACGGTATTGACAAACGCGTTATGCATCTGATTTTAAAGCTCATGGGTGCCCGAGTGATATGGAATCGAAATGTTGTATGTAGGTGGCATGTATAAAATTGACTTTGTGGCTGTGACTTGTGGAAAGATTGTATTTCTCTTGACTTTTGGAAGCGTATCCTGTAGTAACAAGTCCATGTGCTTTCTAAGATGCGATTTGAACTACGTTATGTTCGATAATTTGGTTTCTTCGAGTTCGTTTTGGATGAAAGTGAATTATTAACAAACTTTATGATTTAGTTTAATGCATGTATTGTAATTTTTGATCTCTCTTGGTCAGACAAGTTACAGAGCCAAATTATATTATACAATAAGAAAAAAAATGCAATTTTAATTGAAATAGAATTTGCCCAAGAAATGTTCAGTATCCAAGTAATGATGATAATAATTATTATTCGGTTCATACAGTTTTAAACATGTTGATCTGGAAAGTAACCTGAGCTACAATTGGAATTGGTGATGTTTAATACTGCAGAATGCAGACAGAATACAAAATGCACTTCAAACAAGTTTTCAAAATAGCTTCTGATTATAGGCTCGTTCCTATTATTTATAACATTATTGTGCTTGAGAAGGAAAATTTTCACTTTTTGTCGCCTATTTGATTAGATTCATTTCCAAATATAAAACACAAGGCTTGTGTATGGAAGAAATTTCTCCTTCTTTTACATTTTCCATCGCAGTCATATGAAAAATTGTTCTCACAAACTAAGTATGCCATTTTAAACTTTAAGGTGCCAAAGGCACTATCAATCAATTCTTAATACAAAAATGCAATGATTGTTTAGGTTTGATTTAATCTTGCCAAAAAAGAGTTAACCCACGACACACCTTGACATGCATGCTTATAACAATAGGCCATTTTACAGTTGTGCACTTATAGTCACAAAGCCTTTGATTTGGAGTGAGGCTGAAGGTGACCTTGTTATGATAGAGACCAGTATCTAGTTTGCATGATAACCAAGTAATTTACAATACAATACAATACAACACTTTATAATTACGGCTCCCCTATATGAGGCTATTCTATTGTAATACAATAATATTTATATAATAATTTACAATGGGTCAAAGAATATTTACATGTGTTGCAAAGAAAAAAGACCAAATAAAATTTAAAATAATAGTAATAATAATAATAATAATAATGATAATTAATATAATTTGGCATAAAGGTGTAAATTAGGGTTGAAAGATCCATTTAAGAAGAGTTTCTGATAAAATGGGCCACTTTCCTTTTAAGATCTAAAATATCATTTGTGCTTTGAATTCACATTTGGAAAGCAGCAAGGGGTGTATCATAACAAGGTCACCCTTAGCCTTACTCCTATTCAAAGGCTTGGCAACCAAGCACACAACTGTAAAATGGACTATTGTTATAAACACATCTACCCCTGCCACTGAAGTCAAGAAGTACATTTCTAGAGCAACAGCTACAATTCTAGGCAGAGCTATGAATAATTTTATTCCTCCCATATTCCTATCAATATGTCTTTAATCATTTATTTTTGTTATGTAAAGAATGTTCAAGTGCTCTTGGTATGGAGAGTCGCCACATCAAAGATGCTCAAATCACTGCATCTTCACAATGGAATGGAAATCATGCAGCAATCCAGGGAAGATTGAACTTTAAGGCTGGTGGAGGCAAGACAGGAGGATGGTCAGCTCGGTCGAATAATGGAAATCAATGGATACAGGTGGCTCTTGGTAGTTACACCAAATTAACAAGTATAGCAACACAGGGAAGGAATGCTTACAGCCAGTGGGTAACGGCATACAAGCTGCAGTACAGTGAAGATGGAGTGAACTTCTACTACTATAAAGTACCAGGACAGAGTTCACCCAAGGTACATACATGTAAATTGCCATGTGTCACATATTGAAAGATTTTTGGGTATATCTCAAGTCATCCTGTAGAAAATGAACCTTTAAGTGGACAAAAATCTGTTGATATTCATATTGTATCATTATATGAATGGAATAGTATATTGACAACTAAATAATGTAAAAAATGTTGGCATGTAGGTGATTATGCTTTGCATTTCTAAGAATTGCTTTGTTCAACCCTTAAACTCCCAGAAGTGATTCACATGTAACTTCTCCCAACAATATCCATCCACTATCCAGCAAACAGGTAATGAGAGTACTCAAATTTATCATGTAGAAGTTGTTCTCTTGGTATAATACCAAATTCTTGCAACTAATTTACAAGGAAATGTGTAGCAGTGAGATGTGAGAATTGACAACCAGATCATGGGAGTTAAAGGGTTATTTAATAAGCAATTAATACTAGACTAAACAGAATAATGATAATTACGATGATGTTAATTTGGTATGGGAATCACTTATCTTACTAGATTTTGTATGTTGATTATTTAAGGTTTTTAAAGGAAATAAAGACAGGGATAGTATTGTGTATCATAAAATAAGCCCACCAATCCAAGCGCGTTATATCAGACTCAGACCCACAGCATGGTATGGTCATATATCACTCAGGATGGAGTTGTATGGTTGTTTAGGTATGGTAACTGTTACTCTGAGTCATTAATCAACATTAACTTATGCTTGGAGTACCTGCTCATCCATGTATATTGTCAATTGACAAACAGTTCTGTTAATTATTTTCAAATATTTAGAGATATTGGGCTAACACATAAACATCATCTAGGGATTGCAATTGGGTGCAAGAGAGAACTTCTAATTTTGGGGGATTTTGTAGACGGAATTATAGGGTAAGGATGTTGATGTGTGGTTGATTGACAAAAGATGTACAAAATTAAGGAAATGTTTTTGAAGGACCAAACATTTGGTACTTGTAAATATGCACTTGGTAGCAAACATTTTATTTTCCATATCATGCGGTAAATTGTGTTGCTCACATTACATGATGAAAGTCGTTTTGTAGGGATAACATGACAATATATTTTACTTGAGATGTTTCTTATCTTGTAGGTAAGTTAGTTAAGGACTTAAGTATTTCACACCAATTTTACAGTATTCACAAAAGCCAAAAATTTATATTAAAACCAAACAGTTTGAGGTTCTATTTCCTCAGCTATTTGGTGTTAATTTGATAAAGAACAAGTTTCAACTGGTTACTTTGACATGAAAGTAACCATGTTTTCCAAACTTTTTCTAACTTAAAGTTGATTTACTAAAAGCATTATAATTTGCCAAACTGTCTGTCCTATGGAATGCCCCAATCACAAAGTTTTTATTTCACTTCATTAATTGTTTACAAAAACACCTGTCTATTCCAGTAAAGGAAAATGCAATTAGAAGTAAGTCACTGGTTCCCGGGATGGTGCAAGTTATGCTAAGACATCTGATTGTTTTTGTGACTTCTTGATGAGCTATACTTATGAAATTCAGTGGATTTCTCATTTAGATTTGAAGTTAACGACCCTGAGAGCAATCTGGGAATTTTCCATAGATCTCATCCATCACATAGGATACTGTACCTGCATGCTTTAAAAGGAGTAAATTCTTCAATTACTATTTTGTGAGATTTTTCAGATAATGAGAACTGTTTGCTATAATTATTGTGTGAGTGTGAATTGTGTGGTTCTGCATCTGCAGTTATCTGGTAAGAAGTCTTGTTTCAGTAACTATATTTACACAAGAACCGATGTATTGCAAAATGTCAAGCCAACAAATTGCATATTTTGCATGACTGTAAAATAAAACTGCTCTTTCACTTTCTTTATTTCTGTAAAGAATGTTCAAGTGCTCTTGGTATGGAGAGTCGCCACATCAAAGATGCTCAAATCACTGCATCTTCACAATGGGATAGAAATCATGCGGCATTCCAGGGAAGATTGAACTTTAAGGCTGGTGGAGGTAAACAGGGAGGATGGTCAGCTCGGTCGAACAATGGAAATCAGTGGATACAGGTGGCTCTTGGCAGTTACACCAAATTAACAAGTATAGCAACACAGGGAAGGAATGCTGATAGCCAATGGGTAACAGCATACAAGCTGCAGTACAGTGAAGATGGAGTGAACTTCTACTACTATAAAGTACCAGGACAGAGTTTACCTAAGGTAAATGTAGAGGCAGTTACTTGGTTTAAAACTGTTGAAAATATATTCTTATCGCCCTTGCGAACTGAATTCCCAGTTTTCTGGGAATTCCTAGGAATTCCTAGGAATTCCTAGGAATTCTCAAAAATTCCCAATTATGCAAATGACCCTTGCAAACTGAATTCCCAGTTTTCTGGGAATTTCTGGGAATTCCTAGGAATTCCTAGGAATTCCTAGGAATTCTCAAAAATTCCCAACTATGCAAATTAGCTCTGATTTAAAAAGCTTGGAATTACTGGGAATTTCTGGGAAAGGAAGACTCCAGTTTTGTGAGGACTTGGAATCCCTAGGAATTCCTAGGAATTCTCAGCTTTACAAACTACCTATAATTTAAGAAGTGTGGAACTCTTGGGAATTTCTGGGAATTGAATTTGAGGCAATTTTAATACCCTGAGGTCCACATAAATTCTAAGAAATTCTCAATACCTTGAATGTGAAGGTTTTTAAGAAAAGAGTAATTTCAGAGGCTTAAAACTTTGGCTCAATAAAAGGTATGCTATACAAAACTTACCAAGAGATATACATACATGTACATGTTTATAACTTAAAGATCATGAAATTTATTACTCAAACTAAGTTTTAGTAAATCTTTACATTAATATGGATTTTCTCATGAACCAGCTGTCAGTTATGTTAAATGGAAATTGCCAACTTCCACAATAATTAACAATAATTACATTGTTATCTAACTTCCCTAACCTACATTACTGGTTGCCTTTGTTAGAAAACCTCGGAACAGTCAAGCTCAGTTGCCTCCAACGCTGTCAGAGACTTTTTGTTGACAATACTTTTAGTAGAAATTTCATGCCTTAGACAAACAAATTCAACAACTTATTAATCTTTCTTTTTTCATGATTGTTGTTGCTGCTTTTTTTCAGTTTTTGCTCTATTTTCAAGACTAATTGCTGTAATTTGTTTTGTTGTTTTTATTCTTACAAAACATTTTGTAAGAGTTCCAATACTTGTGGATCATCCACACACTTTGCAAACATTTGGCATGCAGACAAGACAGAGGTAGTCAATGTTCCCTTTGAGGAAAAAACACCTTTTATATGACGTCTTCAATTTACTTTATTTGAAACTCTGATCTGAAAATATTTGTCAACAAGACTTGTTAGTAGTGAGAAATACCAACTAAGTTTCCTTTCATAACTTAATTTCTTAAATGTCCCAATCACTGGATCTCCCTAAAAACATTACATCTTTTTTTATTATTGGTGCAAATTACAAGTCCTTCTTTATATAAAAATGAAAAGTGCTAGTCACACTTCAATAATAACAGCTCTTAAGTTTACTTGTTGTTCTTCTCTGTCTGTCAGCTATCAACAAAATTGTTTTATACTTCGGGCAGTGCATAACTATTTGTGGACCAGAGTTCCAACGCACCTCTGTAATCGCATATAGCTACTTCTGTCTCTTGTACAAATGTTTCTCCTTTGTAAGACGCACTCTACTCTGTTGTCAATACTGCTTTAAGTTCAGTGGAAACGACTGACTGAGGAATCGAGATGGCGGTGTTGGAACGTGTTGCTGAACGCTTTCTACGGTCAAGCTTTGTAGATTTAGGTACTGGTACACTGGGATCATCTATGTATCTCTTATACTTCCGAATGTGGTATCCTTCTTTTATAAATATGAGGGTAAAAGACGATTTGTAGTCGCATTCAAAACTGTGATTGGCTTGTGTTATTTCTCACCTTTGCCATTAACACAACTCAAGTGAGTTTCGAGTCTTTGTTTCCTCGACAACTTTCGGCCACAAATCGTGCTTTTTTAATACGATCGATTCTTGTCGATTATTTCTACATAGAGTGAGCTCACATCTTTATTTATATCACCAAGCTATCCATCTTCTAGAAGCAGAGAACCGGTCGGAGAAGTCAGAATAAAGTTGGGCACTTCTCCTAACACTGCAATCGGCAAGCCAGCGGATTCTCTCTGCTAGCCAATGACAAGTCCTAAAAGATCCACGTGATCATGCCCGTAATCGGAAACAAAGAAGACTCCATTTGGCGCTCATCTTTGAATGTACTTTTCATCGGTTGATCGCTTTTCTCAACTGTTTTGCTTAATATAACATTTCTAAAGATAGCTTTTATTGTGGTTCAATGGGAAAACGAGAGTAGCGTGAGTGTTATAAAAGAAAAGAAAGTCGTTGGCGCCGTGGAGTTAAAAGAAGGGACAACAGTTGACATATTGACTGGTACAAACAAGGGTCGAATGGCCGTTTGTAAAGCTACGATTTTGAAAGTTTGTGGTGAGTAAAAATTGCGATATTCGTTACGTGATCAAAATCTTATAAAAGAATAGATGTAGCGGGTTGGATTAAGCTTACATAACGCTCGGCGCAACTGAAACTAGAATAATTCTGAGAATCGAATCGGTCACTTGCATGCCGCAGTTTCTTAAGCTTATTATGCTTTACAATGAAATAAACCTATCAGTAAGGTTTCAAGATTCCTCTAGTCACGTTTGGGAACATTCAAGATTCAAAATAGGAACTGTTATTAAACAAACCTTAGTACATAAAGAAGCCCTCCTTGGTAAAAAAACAAAATAATGTATTCAGCCCTTTTTAGTAAAATCCATGAGAGAGATGTACTAACTCCAATATGAAAGTCACTCAATATAACAGAGATTTCTCAATTTGAGAATCCAATGAATGCCCTTTTCCTCATAGCCATCTTAAAAGCCTGGTCTGAGCTTTAAATATACATATTTTAATATATTATTTTTTTTCAAATTCAGATGTCAAGGAATCCAGATACAAAATGGTCAAGGTTCTTGTTGACAACCTCATTCAAGGCCAACTCATTGTGAGCCCAGGAAAAAAAAATACAAACAGTAGAAACAGCAGCTAAGTTTGCAGTTTAGGATAACTTCATTCTAATTTATTGTTACGGTTACAACAAGATTTTAATCAAAAAATCAATTTTATTTGACTGTAATTAGCCCCTTCACTCCCAAGAGTGCTTGGTTTTCAAATATAACTTAAGATATTGTATTTTATGGAAAAGAATCAACAGATTTTATTCACAATTTGTGTCAAACCAAATTTAATGATTGATTAGAACTATTTTATATGAATAGCTGTAATTGAGGATTAATCCGTATGAAGTTTTCAAGAAAAGAAAAATAAATCAAATTCCATCCTAATATTACCACACATTGATGTTAATAATTAATCAAAAATATTTTACATGTAAGCCTTAAATTAAGCTTCTAAATAAATTTCATTGAATACTTGAATTTTAGCTGGGTTTTTTTAATTTAAAGTATTTATTTTATATCATTAGCCTCAAATTTTTGCTTAAAATTCCCAGTAATTCTGAAACATTCCTAAAAATTCCCAAAAATTCCCAGAAATTCCTAGGAATTTTTTAGATTTACAGCTTTTCAGGGAAAGTCATTGGTTCTCTGAGTTGGAATTCCTAGGAATTCCTAGGAATTCCTAGGAATTCCAAGTCCTGTTGGCTATAAACTTGGAATTTCTGGGAATTTCTGGGAATTTCTGGGAATTTCTGGGAATTTCTAGGAATTTCTAGGTTTTTAGAACCAGAGTTGTTATGGTTGGGAATTCCTAGGAATTCCCAGTCCGAATTTACCGTGAAAATTCACACCTTTATTCCTAGGAATTCCTAGGAATTCCTAGGAATTCCTAGGAATAAATTCCTAGGAATTCCTAGGAAAATCCTAGGAATTCCTAGGAATTCCAAAAGCCATTTCGCAAGGGTGTCTGCACAGTATACAGGTAACAGTTATTATATGTTGCAAGTAGTCCTATTAATTTATCTGCAACGACCATTAGGGGCTTATAATGCAGTCTACCATGGAATAGGTTAATAATGCCACATATCTAGCCTGGCATTCAAAATTGGTCTTTCTTGACTTTCTCTTGCATATTTACAACAAGTGCAATAAACACGTTACAATTTTAAATGTTAGTTGAAACTATTGGAGAATCATGCATAATCCAACAGGAATGGCGAGACTGTGGTAGCTGACTACTAATATTACTTGCATGTATTTGTAGGTATTCAAAGGAAATAAAGACAGAGACAGCATTTTTATCACCAGTTAAACCCACCCATCAAAGCTCGCTACATCAAACTTCGACCAACATCGTGGTATGATCATATATCGCTAAGAATGGAGCTGTATGGTTGCTCAGTAGGTATGATTATTATCTTACACCAACTTATTTGGCACTGAAAATTGGAAGGGTGAAACACGTGTTTTGATTATAACCAGCATAATGCTGAAATATGGATATGGCAAGAAACTCCAGATTGTTAGATGCTACATTATGACATAGGTAGAAAAATTTCTGCTTGATCGAATTTTGTCTAACTTTTAACTTTTCAATAGAACTGTACGTACCTACCCACAAACATACCTACATACCTCTGTACATAAACACACACTCGTGAACTGTTCTTTTACCTTCTTTGTTTCTGTAAAGAATGTTTGGCACCTCTTGGTTTGGAGAGTCGACGCATTAAAGATGCTCAAGTCACTGCATCTTCGCAATGGGATGGAAATCATGCAGCAATCCAGGGAAGATTGAACTTTTAAGGCTGGTGGAGGCAAGCAAGGAGGATGGTCAGCTCGGCAGAACAATAAAAATCAATGGATACAGGTGGCTCTTGGCAGCTACACCAAATTAACAAGTATAGCAACACAGGGAAGGAATGCTTACAGCCAGTGGGTAACAGCATACAAGCTGCAGTACAGTGAAGATGGAGTGAACTTCTACTTCTATAAAGTACCAGGACAGAGTTCACCTAAGGTAAATGTAGTATCAGTTAATTGGCTTTAAACTGTAAAAATATATGCCTATAGTTGCACGGTATAACAGTTATAACATGTTGCAAATAGTCCTATAAGTTATGTGCAAATACCAAGGGGCTAAGTGCCTGATCATGCAGTCTACAATGGAAGAAGTTAATTATCTAGCCTGCATGGCATTGCGACAAAATTGGTGTTTCTTGACTTTCTCTTGCATATTTACAACAAGTGCAATAAACACGTCACAATTTTAAATGTTAGTTGAATCTATTGGAGAATCATGCATAATCCAACAGGAATGGCGAGACTGTGGCAACTGATTATTAATTTTACTTGCTTGTATTTGTAGGTATTCAGAGGAAATAAAGACAGGGACAGCATTGTTTATCACCAGTTAAACCCACCCATCAAAGCTCGCTACATTAAACTCCGACCAACAGCATGGTATGGTCATATATCACTAAGAATGGAGTTGTATGGTTGCTCAGTAGGTATGATTGTTGTCTTACACTTGTTTTGGCACTGAAAGTTAGAAGGGTGAAACGTACATGTTTTGATTACCAGTGTAATGCTGAAATGTGGATTCTGGAGGAAACGCTAAATTGTAGAATTTAGAACTTTTTTTTGGTATTTAATGTTGCTATTAAGCTTTAGTGGAGATTCCAGAATGTCTTCCTTTTGAGGCGGGTCAGTCTGTCCTGGGCTGGCAGCAACATGGTGCAGGAAATTTATTACGGGATAAGAAAAGCCTTTAGTTTGATCTGTCTTACAGCGAAGTCCGGGCTCAGATGGCATTCCTGTTGAGGTTTTACCGTAAGCGAAATCAGCGCTCTCTTGCCACCTGCTCCTACGCCGGTGCTGGGAGTGGGTATGAGTATGGGCTGGGCTGGGTTGCTTAACCTTGCACGCACAAGAACCAAAATCAAAGTGTAGTGAGTCGTGGGCCGGGTTGTTCAAAGCTGGGTTAAGATAACCCAGGGTTAGTTTGAAATCTGATTTGAAATCTGAAAGCTTTAAAAGAAAATTCATTATAATGTTATTTGTGTACAATTTTAAGATAGGATGCCCTAAAAAGAACAGAGAAAATTATCCAAAAGGGCATTTGAACAAAGTAATAAAGATAGCTAGATTAAAATTGAGCCCTGGCTGAGTTCGTGCTAATCGGCCTTGTAACAGCTTTGCCGCTCTGACGTCCCACATTTAGGTGGGCCTTTAGTTTTCATCATTTCCATTACTCCTGCGTTTTGACTTTTTCTACGAATAAAATTCGCCTTTAGCTACCTTGAACTTAACCCAGTCGCTTGTTAATTCCTTTTAAAACAACCTGCATTTTATTACTTATTTTTCACACGCAGGGCAAAGTCTAGATGGGCAACAACTAATCAAGGAGCCCTCTCTGATATTATCGTTTGCTCTTGTTCAGTGTATCTTCACTTATTCGAGATCGCATTATATCTTTGGTTATGGTCTAGTAGAGGTACAACAGAGTTTCAATTTGCTTTTCGTAGTAAAATTACGCGAAATTTTTTTTAGGCAACTTATTATAGACGAATAATTTTGATTTTCTCTATGTTCGAGGGACGGCGGTAAGCATTTCTTTTGCAACCGTTATTTGGTCTCGTTACGCAACGCACTCTCTCTCCAACGGGAAATGGAGGGCGTTGGCTGACGAGAATAAACAACAGCGGCGAAGTAGACAACAGTAAGCGTGGCACCGATTTCATTTTTACTTAGAAATATTTAGGTAATAGACCACAAAATATCTGTGTGAATTCAGATAAATTAGGTTTTTTCTGTCTTTCTCTTAAGGTGAAGTGATGCGATATTTTCGTTCTTTTGAAAGTTATGCTCTTTTCAGTTGCAAAACTGAAAACATTAAGTATACAAACTGTCGCCTCTCAACCCACACAGCAAAAAAATTAACTTTTGCATGCTACGCATGCCTATGTTCTAATTTGTGTCAACTTACTTGTTTCGAATCAGTTATTTCAGTTTTTTTTTTGGTTTATACATATTTCCAATCGAGATTGTATGTACCATCCGATTCTAAAATTTTGTATGGTTATACTACTATACTTGTATATTTTCACTAAAAGCTCCTGGAGTAAATGTCCTCTGCGGCGATAAAACCATGACCATTGTCATCCCAAAGACCCTCCTCCGTGGTCTTGATTTAAAGAATCTTCGACTCCTGGACACCAAATGTAAAGGCAAAGAAGGACGGACCCACCTTAGCGTTACAACATCATTGACGGGCTGTAAAACTGTCAGCAGATATACACCCACAGCTATCATCTACTCCAACACACTGAAAATACCCGTGGCCGCTAAAAGTGCTGTAACACGCGTACATGACATAAAAGTGCAGTTCAGCTGCTATTACTCAGCGCATGGTATAGTTTCATCGCTTGGTTGGACGCCAATTAAAACAACACTTGAGCTTCGAGAAGAGGCCAAAGGGAACTTGACACTGTCGTTGAGAATGTTTCACAACAAGGCATTTGTGAATCCTTACACGAAAGTTGATTTCCCTGTTGCTGTGGAGCTGCATAGGCGATTGTACTTTGAGGTATCCGTGGCAACAGATGACAAAAAGCTGTCAGTCAGGGCTGATCGATGTTATGCCACGCCCACCCAGGATCAAAAGAATTCTCTGAAATATGTGTTTATAAAGAAAGGGTATGTTTAGTGATAAATGTTTTGGACACTTATTTTCTACTCCTTTCGAAAAATTACTCTTGGTTTATTTTGCGGTTACTTGAGACGTTTTCCTAAGCAACTAATAGTTAGTGACAAGTAAGAAAAATTGGACACACTTCGTAATCTTGAATTCCATGATGATCAACATAAGTTTAAAAAAAAAACTTTTGTTAAGGATATTCTTAGGCATAATTTCACCTTGATCAAGGAAATTTGCTTTACTTTAGCTGCCCAAGTGACGCAACAGTAAAATATCATTCATCGCCTTCTTCTCGTGCTCAGCGGTTCAGCGTGGAAGCCTTTAAGTTCATTGCTGCTCATCCCTTTGTTTTCGTCCACTGCCAAGTGAATGTATGCAATGCAACCAACCCAGGCTCCAAATGCTCGATGAAATGTCCTTCAAGTGGCCGAGGGAAACGTGAACTGAGTGATAACGTGACTTACGACGTGTACTCTTTAGTGCAGGGACCCCTGCACCTGACGCACGAGAAAAGAAAGGAGAACCGCGGGAGAATTCTGGATAAGACTGGTACGTAGATGAGCTGTTTCCGGGGACACATATTAGGGATGCATCCTGAGGATAAATTCTACCCCCGGCCCCCAGTACCCCATGGATCCCTCTTGAAAGGCCCCTCAAGATTTTTGAGTTGTGAAAAATATCTCTGATAACTTTCCCCATTCCCAAAATGATTCACCCTTCTTTGTTTGTATATTTTTTCCTGACCTAATTACAAACTTATTGTTACGACATCTTAAACCAGCATGTTACAGTATGACGCTTCGCAAGTGAGGATTTTTCAACTTTGCAGTGAAATTTCTTTGGAATTAAGTCTATATTCCCCCTTTTCTGTTACGTCCCTAGGTTCCAGTCCTCACATTCCGGAGGCTCTGTCCGCTGACAATCATCACAAGTAGCTTCAAACTCATTTACACTTGGATTTGACCTGGACTTGAACCACTGAAGGATGTTTGAGCTGGATATTCGTATAAAGGGTGTTTCACAAGTTCGTGCCCGTTTTTCTAAAAGGCTATATCTTACTTATTTTTGCATTCTGGAAGCCGTATCTTTAAAAAAATTACCTAATTTTGCTTACTTTAACCAAGTTTTATAGTCATCCAAAAGTTGAAGGAGAAAAAACATATTTAAAATAATTTTCCGGCATCACAGAAATAATTTCTGTGATGGCTAACCGACTAATAAAAAGCACTCACTTTTCACGTAATTGTTTTTTTCTTTTTCGTAATTTTTACATCGCTATCGACCCGGAACAAATAAGAAATATTTTTTTCTTTTTTGATTTTTTTATTATTATTATTATTATTATTATTATTATTATTATCATTATTATTATTATTATTTCAAGGTAGCTAAAGAAACGTATTAATCCTTAAAATCCTGTTATCTCTTCTACTTCTCCAGCTCAAGCATACCTCTTATATTTAGACGCTGAATAATCTCAAAAACTGACGAAAAAAATATGCGGAACAGCGACAACGGCAAACAAACAATTGTAACTTACAAATAGTTTTGATATTTAAGTTCGGTTCTTGAGGTTACTCACTGATCTAACTCAAACAGGACTGTCGAAAAGATTTGATTTATGTAAGGGTGCCTGCGCCTATATTTTTCTCATTTTGTTGTACGGAATGACAGAACTGGCTCTTCAATCAGCTGTTAGTCGAAAAGGGATTATTACTGAAGAGATTTTAAACCTGTCTTTTGTAAGACTGAATAACCACTGAATGCTAGTTTGCCGAGTTATAGAAAAACTCAGCAGCACTTTTAGGAAATGAAGATGGTTTAGGATTGGCCATCCTTAGAGGCATTGCAGGTGATCAAGTTAAGAATTAATAGTATGACATCCTACTAATGAGCCAGCAGCTTTAAACGTTAATGATGCCGCATATAGTGCTGTGATGGGACGGCAGGCAGAAGGTTACTGAACGCGAAGAATTAGAACTTTCCTATTAAGGCGCTAGCACAAGAAAATAATCCAAGATTGATTGAAGCTACTGTTTTTTCCAGTCTTTGAAAATTGAAAAATAACTGCATTAAGCTTTTGAGGTACGGGATATTGAATCGAGGTTTTAAGTTTTACGGTAGTGATGAAGAGTTATTAAGGAACATCAGCTGGTTGACAGAGCCTTTTTCTCAAGTTTAATATTTTATTTTAAAGAAATGGTGAAGGGAAATGATGTGGGTATTAACTTACACATAAAAACAGGCATAGTGCTCTTATATACACGAGTGATTGGATGTTACGAGAGCATAAGGTTGACCATAATGGATAAGATGTTTTCATCCCGGAAATTCTCTGCTCAAGATATTTCTGTTTTGGTGTTCAGTTAATACTTAGGTATCCTGCTGGGGAGCTGTTGCTTGAAAGTAAAATAAATTGAAGAAACAGAATTTTGCCCTCATTTATTAGATCACATTCAAGACGTAAAGTGACTCGTTGAGCCGTTGGGGAAAAAAAAAGCGGGAAAGGTTGAATCATTACCTTCGTCATTGTCGTTATTATTTGTAAATCATTTGAGCTTTTCTCGTAATTGGGATATATTTCTTAACATACAATAGAGATGTTATCTCGCCAGCTTTAGATTCAGCAATCATCAGCCTCATTCCTTGTTTACCTACCCACTTAGTTTTCCACTTAGTTAAGGAGTCTCCAACGTTGCCCAAATCAGAGTGGCAGTCAAGTATTTGCACAACGTATTCGTAATGTTATAAGTGATTTGTCATCTACTTTTTCTCTTCCTTGTGGACTTTTAAATTCATCGAAATCGTTCACTAGGCTTTGTATCGTGATAGCACGGTGCCGTTCATAGCTGAAAGATGTTTTGTGACGTGTCTTTAAATTTTGAGCTGTTCAAAAACTGCAAATTATGGAAAGATTGTCAAAACGGACTTACAGTTAAAACCTACCATTTTAGCGTATGTCTCTTAAATTGTTGATAAGTCAGGTAACTTTCGAAACACTGTGAATTGCAGAACGTGATCAAACTATAGTTTTGAGTACTCCATTTCAGTCTAATTTTCTTCCACCCAAGATCCTGTGAGCCATTTGTGGGAAATAACGCCGGGGGGTGGGTGCACGCCTTCGCTTCGCTCACTGCTCACGCTTTAAATGGGAAATGAATGTTAGCTCCTTATCAATTGTTCCCGAAATGCATCATCAAAAGTGTTTTCATTTAATCGTTTACCTGTTTCGTAATTATTTGGTTTACTGACAATCCCATTCCTTGCAATTGAAAACTTTAGTCTACGGCCCCCCTTATAGGCATTCACGCTAAACGGAACTTTGTTTACATTTCCATTTGTAACCTACATTTTATTCACTTGTGAGTAAGATTCTTGCTCTTCCTATCATCTTTACCTCTTTCCCTTTATCAAAGGTGGTACTTGCTACCCACAATAGATTGCCGGTATCTGATGAAAAGTCAGACCAACGGGATTCGAAGCCGTTTATCCTAACAAATTCTTGTTCCTCCGCATTTTTTGAGAAAACTCGGCGGCGTTCTCTGAAATCGTTCTCTGCAATCAGAACGACCTCGCACACGCGTTAGAAGAATAAAAATCTTTTGTCTACTTATAATGATCTCGTAGCCATATCGCTTGTCATGCATACATTCCTAAAATAGTACAAAGATTTTAATGTGAGTTTGTTGACCGCCCCTACACGATTCAGAGCTTCTTCTAAAGGAAATTCTGTCTTATCCGAAGGAAACACGGATCGTTGATTAAGTGATGGAGAAACTTAGCAGAAAAGGAGTTATATTGAAATCTCAAAAATGTCCATGAGAATTCTTCCCCACGATTTTTCTTCGCAAAAGGAGGACAGGAGGATATGGAGTTAACCTCAATTTGAAGAACCTAAGTAAATTTATAAGTAACCATCATTTCAAAAATAGAACAGAAGAATATAGCGTCATCCATAATTTGAAGAACTTGAATCCATGTATCAGTAAACAATCATTTCAAATTAGAAAGCTTGACTTCAGCGGTCTGTCTTATGACACGTGGGTGTTACACGACATCTGAAGATTTACGAGATTCCTCTTACTCTGTCCCAGTTGACAAGAACTGCGGAAAATATTTAAAGTTCTCTTGGAAGGGGGATTGTTTTAGTTTACCTGCCTTCCCAACGGTCTGGAATCTGCTCTACGACTTTTGCGCCAAACTGCTTAACCTTTCACATTAGTATGAAAATTCTCCTCACTGTTCTTTATATATTTCCCAATGTGCTGACAAGGAGAATTTGTTTGCTAATCAAAAGATTCCTTCCCTGGAGACCATTTCCTTTATTCTCAAGACCCTAATGTAAGGGTTGATACTGTAAAGAGAAATTAGATGCTAGTCACTCTAAGGGTATAAAGGTCTAAACCTGTTTATAAGACTGGGGAGGAAAAGAAATTTGTACCAAGGGGGCGGTCGACGGTCAAAAATAAGAAGAGGGTGGGGGTGGAAGAGTGAAGATTTCCCCGCCCCCCTCCCTGCATCAAACAAAACACGGCCGGTTGAATAAACGATCGCGAGCTAGTTAACGTTAACTCGCCCTCATAAGACGCCTGCAGTAAAAGCTACCCCTATTCTGCTTTAGTTATAGCACTGTTGAGATCAACTGTGGGGGTTCATCTTCCTTTGATTTCTCACTTAAAGCCTCATTGCAAAAACAGTGGTCTTCGTCTCAGTCTTTCATTTATATTATGTCCACGCGAGTGCACAGTTCCTCCAAACGAATGATCTCGTCATAAATGTGACCCTCTACGGGAAAACAGAGAATAAGGTGAACGCAGGGCAGCGATTGCTAGGCTGGTCGCTCTAGTCAGGAAGGATCAAGAGAAAACAAGTCCTTTTCCAGTCTTCTTGGTTCTCTTCAAATAAAATCATTAAAGCTTTGTTTTGCTCATTCTGCTTTTTCCAAAAAAGAAATATCGGTAAGCGCCCTGTCCTTGATAAGCGCCCTGTCCCTAATTACCGCCTTCCCTCGAATGAGCGCCCTCCTTTGAGGTACCAAAAGTAAATAAGCGCCCCGAGCGCTAAATCGAATCATTACGGTGAATGCCACGGCTGAAATTATACAGGGTCTATGAACACGCTTATTAAAATATCAAATCATACACATATACCCAAAGAAAACTGTCTATCAGCCCTTTCACTAACAGAAGGGAATCACATTCAGCTCCTCCTTACAATAACCTCACGTCATCCGACAAAAATGTGTAATGAGAATAGACAAATATATCCGCTACATGCTAGTTTTATCTCGGTATAAAAAATGATTGGAAGCTACAATCGTGAATTAATAATCACATCTTGGAAAAAAACATACTTAAAATCATGAGGTTGAGGGTCAGTGATGATTAGCCTAGAACCATGAATGAGATTGTTACAAAAGAAAAAAATTCCTAAATTGATATGATTTGTTCACCAAGAAAAACCGAAACTACATTACATTCGTTTGAGTATGTTTCAGGGTCTAAAAAGACATAAAGTGAAAAACTCGCCAACAAGGTATATGATTCTGTGTCTTACCTAAAACGTATTATGTGTTAAACTGTTTTATAAGTAATTTCTTAAGGAAAAAAAGAAAACCCACATAGCAAACAATCCAGAAAAAAGACGAAATCAGATTATACACTTTGCAGTAGACCTCTCTTGAAAGTAGGATTGTTCAAAACTTTACGCCCCAATCAAGAGAAAGTAAGGGGGTTATTTCCTCAGGCCTGAGTTGATTCCGCAAAATGAACGTGGAAACAAGTCAAAAACATTTGCATCTGTTCTATAGAACAATCAATCGATATCCTATTTTATAATCCATGACGCCGGACTCTAGCTTGACGTATGTAGGTCCTAGAGCTGCAATGCGTCCTTCAGTGCTCACTGCAATCTTATACAGGAAATAGCCACTTTTGTAGATAAAAACGCTTCGTACAAACTCACCATCTTTGGTGTATATTCCAATACATAGGAGCTCTTTTTCATCGTCAGTACTAGCCAAGACGACTTGTTGACTTTCCCTGTGAAATGCAATGTTTGGAAAGTGAACAAACCCTTTGAGATCAAACTTACTTAGATGATCACCGAGTTCGCTAAATATGTGTACACAGTGGGAAGGCGTTTGGTCCACCACCATAACTCTGCCATCACTTACAGTGCTGATGTCTCGCGGGCTCTTCAAATTTTGTTCTCCAAAACTGCAAACAAACTGGCCATCAGTCTCGTATAGATCCACAAAATGATAGTCCTTTGTATAATTGCCTTTCAATACTATCACTTTGCCACTATCACTAACTGACAGTTTACACAGATTGCACTCGAGGTCCATTGTCCTCTCGCGAAACTTGTGATACTGGTCAGCGGATTTATCGAACTTAAAAATCCAACGCTGATGATTCTTTTCTTCAACCAGCACATAAATGTTGTCGTTTATGTCTGTCGCCAGTTTAACCTTCCAGTTTTCTGTAGATAGCTCTTTACCATTGTCATCAATAAGAGGAGGAAGTCTGAAACACTTCGCAAATTTGCCACTATTGTCAAACACCTTGATTGTCAAGTCATAGTCGGCTATAATATATTGCCCGCTTGAGTTGGTAGCGAAACAGTGAAAGAGGCAGGTCAAAATCGTTACCAGCTTTTAAGTATGTCTAAGAATAATAACAGTCAATCAGAAGCTTTAAATAGTCACAACAGAAATAAACGGTTTTAAACATAATCACTGATTAGAAACTCAATATATGTGAATGCTCACATGATGACAATGCATAACTGTGCCGTGACTCAAAAGATGAACTCAAACTGATAAACAACACAAAAAAATCAGTATGATCATTCAATAATAATTCATTCTTCTTTATCAATTCAGAATTGTTTTAAAAGGATAACGAAATACTTGTCTTTATCATAAATTAGAGATGACAGAAAATTATGAGGGGGTAATTAATTATTGAGTTACTGCATGTATTTCTCGTTGGACTAAGCCTTCACCAAAGATGTCAAAGCGGAGGAACGGGGAAAGTGCAGTTTTTGTCAGAAACTCTTAAATAACTTGCTACATTACTTTGTGTTAATTCAGTTTACTGATTTTCACTTGCCAAGGTTTAACTTCTGTGTCTTCAGTGCCACGAATTAATCTGTCCAAAAATAAACAATCTTCAACCTGTTTGGGTCACCGAGTGATAATCTGTTGAACTCACCGACATTTTTAAGATTATTTAAAAGTTTTTTTTTCGCCGTAACGTTCAACTTACAGTTTTGATAGCAAGAAAACGAAAAGGTTAATTAAACCGAAATGCTACCTTTAATTTCATAGCCTTTCCCAAGTTCAAATAAATTTAATTATTTCCCGTCTCTCGCACTGTGTGAGGGCTTTAAGAAAGTACTGGGGAAGGGTATATTTAAGATAACGACTGGGACCATCAAATGAACAAGACAATGGGGTCATGTAATCACGAGGTTGATCTACTGCTCGACGAAAGACTCTTGCATTGAATAAATAGGCCAAGTTATTTCCATTCTCTACTCGCTTATCTTTCCGGCGAAACGAATTGTGTCGAGCTCAGCGCTGAGTAAAAATGGCACGCAAGCGATTGAAATAGATCTCCGTTTAAGCGAGTTAAATGATACAGAAGCCGTGTCTGAAATTTTCTTTTCATTAACCGGGCTTTCGTACTTTTCTCGCCCTGCCATCAAGCCGCAAGCCTTTAAGCGAAATTTGGAAACAAATCAATATGCGCTCACAAATTTTCATTAATAGTAGGCCCTTTGAATTGGCGGTAAAACTAAAACAATATGATCAAAACAATTTTTAACGGTCTATCAGCGCTTAAACTGAACGCTCAAAAACGCAAACGGTTCAACAGTGGACGTGTAGTGATATGAATCATTTGTTGGAGTCAGCTTTCATATGGCTCACGACTAAGAGCAAAAATTTAACATGATGGGAAAACAATTTGTTAAATCAATAGTCCTTTTTATCAAACTGAGGACGGGAGTAATACGAAAAAAGGGCGGAAGTTGGGAAGCAAAGGGCTGCAAAAGTACGGGAGGTGTGAGAACGTGGTACGGGAAGTTGGAGGCTGTGGGGCAAGAGTTGTACTCGAAATTCAACGAAATCATACAAAAAAAAAAGAAAGAAAGGGGTCGAAAACAAGAAAAAATTCAGCAAGTGGTAAATTTTGCCAGTATTGACTATATTTCAGCTTTCACTAGATACAAAAAAATTACGTTTTTCATTAGCGGGCAAGAGTTCCATCTTGCCCGCTTGAGTAGCCAAGCAGAGCAAAGGACTCGCATTATCTCATCCACATGCTCTGCTAGGTATGAATTAATTAGCATTTACTGACAAGTTTGATTTGATCTCCAAGGATCATTATACTAATTTTTTACCATCCAACGCGACAAAGTTCACTGCAGAAATTGGTCTTGTTTGAAAATTGACACGCAGAAAACAACAGCCAAATACAATACTAAATTTGATTAATAAAACATTCGACAGGAAAAGCACAAGTGTTCAAAACTACTTAAGCAAACACTGGGCCTATCACAGCAGTAACTGTCCAAGCATTATGCTTAAAAGACAGATAAGGCTAACGTTAAGATTATCGAAAAGGAGGAACACCACGATTAAAATGTAAAATGACGCACATACTTGTGAGAGAGACTGGATATCAACCCCTTTCACACACACAAGAGAATCACATTCAACTTCTCCTTACAATATCCATACATTATCCAGTAAACAGGTAATGAGAATAAACAAATATCTCAGCTTATTGCTGTGTCAGATGTGTCACCTTGCCACGACATAAGAAAAATATTTCCTCTCAGTAAAAGGAGATGTATGGCAGTTACAATGTGCAATTTTATTAATACATCTAAAAAGTGAGGACCACAAGGCTGATTGCCAAAAAAGCATCATATCTCAAGCTAAGCCTAGAGCCACCAATAAAGTCCCTACATGATCTATGATGTAATGCTTATTTTCCAGGAAAATTTCAAAACCGCATTGCATTTGTTCAATTAAATTCCAACGCATCAAAAGTTAATAAATTGAGGCTATGAAAGCTTTCATTTTGGGCATGAAACTTTAGTCTCAAGTTACATCATGGCGTGCGAAAAATAAAGGCATTGTGCTTATTATGTTAATTGTATGATTATTGCTGCAAAGTACCAATCCATCCTTAAAAATGATTAGTCTGTAAACTAAACGTGATTTTTAAATAATGCAGGTAATTTAGTGTTAACAACTGGGTTGAAAACGTAAATTAGCCACCGTAAAGGGTAAAAAAGCTGACGTTTCGAGCGTTAGCCCTTCGTCGGAGCAATTTCGTTTTCAACCCAGTTGTTAACACTAAATTACCTGCTATACTCTCCCACCGACGCAGCACCACAGTTTCTTTAGAAACTTACCCCTTTATTCATTTTTAAATAATGATTACTTTGCGTGTTGCCTCTTCATGCTGGGTTAGTACTGCAATGCGTCCCTCAGTGGTCACTGCAATCCCATCCAGAATAACGGACTCTCCCATAGGGATAACAGTACTTTGCACAAACTCACCATCTTTGGTGCATATTAGTTTAGTCAGGAGGTCTGAAATATATTCCTTAAGAGCGGCCACAATGACTTGTTGACTTTCCTTGTGAAAAGCAATTTTTGGATAGGTCGTAGACATTGGCAAATTGAACTTGTTTATATAATCACCTTGTTCGCTGAATATGTGAACACGTGACGGAGCGCATCCTTGCACCACCATAACTCTGCCGTCACTTACAGTAGTGATGTCGTACGGGCTCCTCAAGATTTGTTCTCCAAAACTGCAAACAAACTCTCCATTAGTCTCATATACATTTACAATCCCAAAATTTTCTTTACAGTAACTCTTCAGTACCAGCATTTTACCACTATCACTGACTGACAATTTACATAACTTAAAGTCGAAGCCCATCCTTCTGATTTGAAGCGTGTGATGCTGGTCAGCGGTTTTGTTAAACCTAAAAATCCAGTTTGAGTCCATACGACTCTCCTCGCTGACCAGTACATAAATGTTGTCATTCGTGTCTGTGGCCAGAGGAAACGACCAGGTTTTAATTAATAGCACCTTACCGCTGTCATCAATAAGAGGAGGAATTCTGAAACGTCTCACAAAATTGCCATTGTTGTTGAACACTTTGATTGTCAAGTCATTGTATGCTACAATATATTGCCCGCTTGAGTTGGTAGTGATACCACGCGGATTATTTAACCCGTGAACCTCTACGCCATCATGACCAAGTATCCATGATACACAACAGTTCTCCATTCCCTGTTTACCGAGTATTTCTCTTACTCTCCGATCTCGCAGCAGATCAACTCTCTCCTTTCCTGCATCAATCTCGGGCCATTGTGGCAATGATTCTTTAACGGATATTGTTTTGTGTGATATCGTGGGCGATACAATTAACAAGATATACACCGGAAATAACTTTCCAGCGTTCTTTGTTAAATAAACTCTTCACTGCCCTGATTCCTGTTTTGAGCTGTTGTTGAAGACTTTGCTGAACCACTGGCAGACCATTTAGCTTTTCAATACACACTTTACATGGTGCTACAGCATCTGCGGGATGGTCTATTGTTTCTAATACTGTGGCCATCACTCGGTACTGCATTGCTATGATGCGGTCAGTTGTTGATAGCGCTTCATTTGGAAAATTGGATTCCACTCATTTCGAAGCTTCAACATCCCCCCCTCTGCCCGGCTGAGTAACGCACAGGCATTTGACTGTCTTCCGGGGGAGGAGAGAAATTTTGAACCCTTCCTGGGTAGAGCGAGGAACTTAAACCAGAGCTGTCATGTGAAAAAGGCATTCTTTTTTCTCCTGGTCTTTCTTAGGACACTAGTTTCGAAATTCAATACTGTTTTTACATGATTTGTACGCATCTTTGCGACTAGGGGTGAGATTCTGATCGCACATTCCAGATTATTGAAGAGCTGATGTGAAGAAAACGAACCACCGTGATTCAATACAGTTAAGTTGCACGCGTTGTATCGAGAGAATGTTATTAAGGAAAGTCATGAACAAAGCCATTTTGTGATATCCAAGGTTCGCAAGAAAGAAATTTGTTTCTAAATATCTCCTTGTAATTTCAGTCAGTTTTCTTTTTTTTTACTTTTTTCTCTTATCCTCACAAGAGAAAAATCCGCATGACAAAATGTGACTGTAACAAACAGAACTTTGGGAGAGATCTTTGTTGCTGTTGCTGAACCTTTTCCTATTCCTTAAATTTTGGATCTGCATACTAGCTTTTCCTCTGTTGTACTTTATTATCAATTTCGACTTTACTTTCTTTCCTTTCTTCTTCTTTTTGTTTTTTTGTTTTTTGTTTTTTAATCTTGAAGATTCTGCAGGCTGATACCCGGAAAAAGACGGCCGTTTTCTTCCTTTTTCGTACTCTATTACCCTCCATCTCTGGTGCCCTAACTCTATCTTTGATTTTTGTTGTCCTGATTTCTTTCTTTATGAAATAGAAAACCTCGAGCAACTCCACGATGTAAGTCAGCTCCTTCTTGTAGGCGTAAGAATACAGCAAAGTCTGAAAGCTCTAATGAATCAGGGTAATACATAGTAACTTTCACGATTTCTCTTCATCTTTTTCTTTCATTTCTACTTCAAAACTCTAATCTTTCTTGTTCACTCTACATCCATCTCAGCCATTTCGTCCCATCTTCCTATAAATTAATCGTTAATTCACGACTGTCGATCAAAAAATTCAAATCAAACGCACGAAGTGCATTTGATTCGAATTTCTTTATCGGCCTAAGTGACAATTGTGAAAATTGTAGTTTCGTTTAGGGTGCGCAAAGCGGATCTCAATAGAAATTAGGACTATACTATACAGTTTCCTGTTCTCACAAACGCAGATGCACTTATGAAGTTTTTTTGATTATTTTACCCTAACTTGTTATCAGTTGACTGTCGTTGGGTTAGGGAAGGGGTAGGTGTGCATTTTCTCCGACAGTGATTCCAAGTTCGGTTTTAAAGTCACAAAGATACTTATGTAAAGCGAAACCAATTTTTTCCAAGTTTGGTTTTTTTCTCAAATTTCTTGTAGAAAGCGCAATCTCTTTTTACTGGATACCAGCTTACTCCATAGGAAGTCACTTCGGTTTTTTTAGCTCCTCTTCACGATACGTTTGACTTGCTACAACTGAATAGCATACACTTGATTTCTACTTTGTACATAAGTTTATCTTCTACACTCAACCTGTTTAACTCTATCTTCCTTAGTTTGACTCCGTTCTCGATTTTTTTCATCCTCTCCAAACATCGTGTTTGATTTCCAGATCAGTTATTCAACTCTACGAAATCGTTCTAACCTAGCAAATTCTAACCGAACGTGCAAGATTCTAAGGGACTCTTCGCGCCGACTGACCTTACCTCAGATCAAAGAGCGTGAAGCAGCTAAAGCGATTTGTTGTACAGTTCTCTGTTTATTAGTACTAACAGCACTGATTAAAACTTCGAAGAATTAATTCGCACCGTAGAAATATTCAGTTAGCCACACATTTAGTTAGTTTACCGCTTCTACGAGCTGTTAATCAAACGAATCCACAGTCAAGGGTTACAGATCTATTTTTTGACCACGGTGCATAACAAACTTTTTTCGTTATCAACACAGCCACGCTCTGAAATACCTTTCATTCCAATGTTTTGTGCCATCATGATGCAAAACTCACTTTTGTGAAGACTGCCAAATATCTGCTAAGTAAAATTTAAAAACGAATAATAGGCAATGATAAATCAATCTTCTGATTTCAAAAAAGATGAAATAAAGTGGCAATTGAACTTCATGTCAATTTTGGTCTAGACTCATACTTGTGATTTCAAGGCAAATCATGCGTATGATTTCAGACCAAATTGAATTCCACTTACTTCAATTACCATTATAAATTAAGTTATTGCGGTGATCTTGTATCTTGCGGTTTTTTCCTTTTTGTTTCGTCGTCAAAGTTTTGGTGTACAGGAAAACAAATTAGTGGCGCTGCTTTTGTTTCTTGTTCAGTAGCCTGCGGTGAAATAATCAATCAGCCTTGTCGTTTGAACATTTTTATGACATTCATTTTGGTCATCGTAGCGGTTAAGGGTCCATAAGATGCTAAAGATTGAAAGTTTGAAAAGAAAATTGATGTAGCAAAACTTTCAAAGAGGTTACTGTCAACAAAATAGGGTGCCTCTTGGAAAAATCGTCTTAAGCGCGGTACTTATAAAACAAACCATGAAGAACTATATGTCACTATGGAGCTTATAAAGTATAGATTCCGAAAATAGCAAAAGTTGTCAAAGTTTTTGTTTCGGTGGGCACACAACTTAAAAGCTTCCTCGATCTAAAAAGCAAAAGAAAACGGGAAACTTGAAAGAATTTTGACCAGATTTTATTGGCAGTGACCTTAAATGAAACATTCAGAAGATCGATAGTAAATCGACTTTATGTACAGTCCCTTCAAGTATATGGCATGGCGCTCTGGTCTATCCTCATTTGTGTGTGTAAATCCGGCATGCATGGATATAAAACATATTGCAGTTTCGATGTTTCGTCCATTGTTCGCGGTGCTCTGGCAGTCAGAGCTTCACAATATAAATGAATACACCCGTCGTCATACCTCAAAACTTAGTATTTCTCTTCAGTGCGTCTGAATCGAAGGCATTAAAATTATTGACTCGGTGATTGAAACACCAGTAAGTCGCTATCTTCTCTAACACTGTTTCAAAAAATCCACACAGCATCTGTGAACAAAATCGAACATGACTTCGTAATCTGAAACGTCTCCATAGTAAGGATCGTGTATTATCAACTCTCCTTTAGATCATATGTTGCAAACAGTTTTACCTCCGCCCGCGCAGTGCGGTCATTTGGTTTAAAATTTTCATTCAGATCTCGCACATTGCTCTCGTCAAAGGCCAATATTAGATACCTTTCGAAGTCAATTACATCGTAAGTCGTGAATGAGATAACATGAAACATGTATACAGTGTCAACAGTCGGAATTATCCAGCGAGCAAAGCGAGTCACGTCAAACGTCGTCCAAGGCCATATTGATCACCCTTAGTATTTTTGTAGGCAATTTAGTGCTAACAACAAGGTTAAAAACGTAAATTGGCTGACGTTTCGAGCGCTAACCCTTCGTCAGAGCGATGGACCAGGGGCTAACGCTCGAAACGTCAGCTTTTTACTCTTTACGGTGGCCAATTTACGTTTTCAACTCGGTTAACACCAAATTACCTGCTATACTCTCCCACCGACGCAGCACCACAGATTCCTTAGAAAATTACCCCTTTTATTCAGTATTTTTGTATGTGACAATAAGAAATAAGACCACGCATCTGCAAATGCTTCTTTTAAATCACACAATCACAAAGCTAAATGATACTGCTAGTGAATTAATGTATAAGAGAATATATGAACAACTTTTAAATCTTTCCGGAGAGGTTTCAAAAGACCTCGACTTCTCGAAGAAATCCGAGTAGTTTTAAAATATATCTCCTAGACCAGCCGAAGAATAATGTGCAATAACGATCTATCAGCGCTTAAACTGAACGCTCAAAACTGCAAACGGTTCAACAATTTTATGAATCATTAGTTGGAGCCAACTTTTACATAGCTCACGACTAAAGCTACTACCGACAACGTGCGAAAATTAAAAGTAATGGAAAAGTAATTTGTTAAATCAATAGTCCTTTTTATCAAACTGGAGACGGGAGTAATACAAAGAGGGCGGGAGTTGGGAAACAAAGGGCCGCAAAAGAAAGGGAGGTGGGAGAACGTGGTACGGGAAGTTGGAGGCTGTGGGGCAAGAGTTGTATTCGAAGTTCATCGAAATCATACGAAAAAGAAGAACCTAAGAGAAAACAAGAACAAATTCAACAAGTGGTAAGATTTGATGATAATTGACCATATTTTAATTTCCACTAGATACAAAAAAAAATTACACTTTTCATCAGCGGGCAAGATGTAACTCTTGCCCACTCGAGTAGCCAAGCAAAGCAAAGGATTCGCATCATCTCACCCACGTGCTCCGCCAGCTATAAAATAATTAGCATTAACTGACAAGTTTGATTTGATCTACAAGGATCATTATCCTAATATTTAACCATCTAACAGTTGGTCTCGTTTGAAAATCGTCATGCAGGAAACAACAGCCTAATGAAATACTAAACTTGATTAATGAAACATTCGACAAGAAAGCAGAAGTGTTCAAAACTACTTAAGCAAACATTGGGCCTATCACAGCAGTAACTTTCCACGCATTATGCTTAAAAGACGGATAAAGGCTAATGTTAAAATTATCGAAATATAGGAACACCATGATTAAAATAAAAAATGACGCACTTGCATTTAAGGGAGACTGGATATCAACACTTTCACTCACAGAAGGTAATCACATTCGACTTCTCCTTACAATATCCATACATTATCAAGTAAACACGGTAACAAGAACAAACAAATATCTCAGCTTATTGCTGAGTATTTATTAGACGTGTCACCTTGGCATGATATAAAAAAATTATTTCTTCGCATTACAAGGAGTTATATGGCAGTTACAAAGTGGAATTTTATTAATACATCTAAAGAGGTGCGGACCACAGAGCTGGTTGCCAAATAAGCATCATATCTCTAGTTAAGCCTGGAGCTACCAATAAAGTTCCTACATGATTAATTATGTAATACTTATTTTCCATGAAAATTGCAAAACTCCATCGCATCTGTTCGATTAAATAATAGCGCATCAAAAGTTAATAAATTGAAGGCTATAAAAGTTTTCACTTTAGGCACGAAACTTTAGTCTTAAGTTTCATCATGCCGTGTGAAAAATAAGGGCATTGTGCTTATTATGTTAATTGCATGATTATTGTGCAAAACACCAATTTATCCATAATAATAATTAGTCTACTAACAAAAAGTGAAAGCAAGAAGGGAAAATCAGTACATTAGTACGTTTTTTAAATAATTATTACTTCAGGTTTTGAATCGTCAAACATGATCGATACTGCAACGCGTCCCTCAGAAGTCACTGCAATCCCAAACGGAGCTATGTTGAACTCTCCGAAATGGATCGAAATACTTTGCATCAACTTACCATCATTGGTGTCTATTTCTATATACAAGATGTCTGAAATCATACCCTTAACACCAGCTATGACGACTTGTTTACTTTCCCTGTGAAATGCAATTTGTAAAGATCTTAGAGCCTTTTCCAGATTAAAACTGTGCAGATGGTCATCTTGTTCGCTGAACATGTGAGCACACGACGGATCCCCTTTTTCCACCACCATAACTTTGCCATCACTTACAGCAGTGATGTCGTACGAGTAACTCAAGATTTTTTCTCCAAAACTGCAAACAAAATGACCATCAGTCTCATATACATCCACAATAGACCATTTCTTTGTCCTGTCACTCTTCAGTACCACCACTTTACCACTATCACTGACTGACAGTTTACACAGCTTAAAGTCGAATTCCGTTGTCCTGACAAGAAAACTGTGATGCTGTTCAGCTCTTTCGTTAAAATTAAAAATCCAGCGCTCGCGACTCGACTTTTCTTTGACTAGCATATAAATGTTTTTATTCATGTCTGTGGCCAGATAAACCGGCCAGCTGTCAATCGATAGCTCTTTACCGCTGTCATCAATAAGAGGAGGAAGTCTGAAAAGTCGCACAAACTTGCCACTGTTGTCAAACACCTGATTGTCAAGCCACAGTCTTTTAAAATACAATGCCCGCTTGAGTTGGTAGCGATACCACTCGGATTATTTAATCCGTGCTCCTCTTTGCCGTCATGACCAAGTATCCATGATACACTACAGTTCTCCATACCCTCTTTACAAAGTATTTTTGTTACTCTCCGGTCTCGCAGCAGATCAAATTTCTCTTTTCCTGTATCAATCATGAGCCATTGTGGCAATGGTTCTTTCTGGGATACTGTTTGTGTGACATCGTAGGCGACACGATTGACAAGACAGACACCGGAAATAACTTTCCGTTGTTCTTCTTTGTTAAATAAACTCTTGATTCCTGTCTTGAGCTGTTCTTGAAGACTTTGCTGAACCACTGGCAAACTGTTTAACTCCTCAATACACACTTTACATGGTGCTACAACATCCGCGGGATGGTCTATTGTTTCCAATACTGTTGCCATCACTCGGTACTGCATTGCTCAGATGCGGTCAGTTGTTGATAGCGCTTCGTTTGAAAAAGCAATTGTTGCCATTTCACGAGCACGTTCGAATCTCTTCTTTGCATTGGTAAGCTGTCTCGTGGCAGATTCAGTAAGCTCCAAGTCTTTCATGCCTTCAGTGAGTGACACAGTTTCCGCACAAGCCGCTTGTGCTGTATCCACGCCATACTCACTCTTCGACCTTGTCTCTTCAAATGCTTCATACAGCAACTCGATTCCTTATCTAAAGAAGCTAATACTTGCTAACAAATCTTTCCTTGATAATCCATCCAGCTTTGACTTCATGTCATCGATTTCTCGCACGATGATGCCGCGAAACTGTTGATCTGTTACGTCGCCATCTTTAAGCTTTTTCGCTGCCTCATCTCTGCCTTTATCCACAAGCCATCCTATAGTCGCTTTGAAAACTGCTGTTATGATCGCAGACATAATGGCAGCTTGGAACTTAAAAATCAGAAGACGGTGAGAGCTTTTCAGCAGCGCGATTCTTTTCACAATAAGTTTAACCAATCAATCATAATTAATGCTCTTCATAACATCAGCGAATAATTAGCAAGATAAAAAAATAAAACTGTGAGTTTTTTGTTCTGACTCGAAAAAATCAAAGGAATCTTGAATCTTGTTGTGATCATCCCACGTACGCTCGTCTATCGTGTCCTATTTAGGTTGAAAAAAAATTCCAAAATTTTCATAACTTATGGTCATGTACAGGGGTGAGATGTTAAAATACTTCTTGACCGAGTTTGACTTGGCCGGATTTTTTTTGTTTTTGAGCCGACCAGCATAGTAAGAGGAGAGCGACCCAATTACTTATAATGGAGGTAATTAACACTGAATAAAGATGATATGAAAATGATGGGGATGGCAACACCTTAAGAGTAGCCAAATACTCTGTAGGTAGACCTTATTGGAAGAGCAGAAAAAAGAGGGAAAATATTAACAAAAATACTTAATATGGTTTACATTTAAAAAGCTGACCACCAGAGCTAAAGAGGGAATCTTACCCAGGGTTAATGGAGAAACCTTTGCTGAGATACCTAACCACTGAAAATATTCCAGAATGGGCAATAATGCAATGAAAAAAACTCTTATTATTTTGGTAATTAATCAGCTTGAAAATGTACAGTCTATTCATATTATTATACAAGAAAAAAAAAAACAACAACAACAACAACAAAATAACAAAGCCAAAACCTGTATTTAGACTTTGCCCTTTGGGCAATACCGAGTAAAAAGTATTAGTTGGCCAAGTTTAGAACGGGGTTCTTTTACATTCCTGTACAAGGCCTCCTATTCATTAAACATGTTATTTGGAAATTTTTATCGCCCCATTTTATAGTGATCTTGAATAATTGTGAATTCTGCAATTTTACATTTGATTTCCTCCACATGTTATACATAGTTGTACACATCATTTCTATGTTTCAAACTGCATTTAGAATATATAAGCAAATTATTTTCCGTCGGTGCTTTAATTCACTGGAAGTAATTAGGGTATAATAATAAAAAGCTAAGTTTTTGCGTTTTTCTCACGATGTAGTCACGTGTGATGTAGGTCGCGACGTTTCGACTGCATACTGCTAGTGTTCTTCAGGCGATGAGGTCGACTGGTCATGCGTGATCTTATAAAGCATGATGAAGAAGACTAGCTGTATGCAGTCGAAACGTCGTGATCTACATCACACGAGACTATATCGTGAGACAAACGAAAAACTTAGCTTTTATTGTTATTTACCACGATGAATAACCACAACCTTTTTAACGTAATTATGGTATGCTATTACATTTAATAAGTATATTTGTATATATATATAACGAAATAGCATATAATCTATACAACCATTACAATTTTAGATGGACTATAAAAAATATCCTGATTTTTTAGATGATAGGCTTAATTTATATTTTTTTATTGTATCAGTTCAAATTAAGTTTCTTAGTCACTCGCTTTCAGAGCACAAAATGTGAATTAATAGCTTTTTGTGTAGTGTATTTTAACTACAATAGCTAGTTATAGTCTGGGTATTTTAGTGATAAAAATTCTATTACACATTACATGATTGAGATTATATGAATCATACACTGATGAAAGAGAAACAGTTTTAATAAAGTATGACATTTAATAATTTGTAACAATTGGACATCTCTTTTTTAATTATGTATGGGCCTCAAATAGGACAAGTCCCGATATCCTCAGTTTCATTGTGGGTTTGCTTCATCTAGGAAGCAATTGAATTTTGAACTAAATTATTTTGTCAATGCAATTTCAAACATTTTGTAATCACTTGCACGTGTCTTTTTCTAAGTCGCCTTTCGAAGTAGAAGTTTTGGTCAACTAAAGACGAGATTACGAGATTTAGGAGAATTCTTAAAGTCCATGAAATGGTTATTAAGGCTTGCTTTCATGTGATCTTAAATTGTTCATGGATGGTTCATTTCAGAACTTTCATTTACTCCTGAAAGCTAAACTAAAGGTTCATTTCAGAACTTTCGTACATCACTAAGAAATGACTGAAATGTTTCTAATGTTAGTCTTTAACTTACCTTTCAGGCAACTTAACTGAACTATTTTATCTTGTGTTATTAAATTAACACTGGACGTATAGCGATGTATGCAACATTACAGAAAGTGTCACCCCTTCCAAATGGATATCACCAGCAAAATAACTTTAGGAAGACCGATAAATATTCTCGCAGCTACATGTAAACCAGATGCTCTTTCTCCATCTTCTGCTCCTTATCTCCTGGTTCACTTTCTCTCGCCGAAAATAAAGGGCAGCTGGTTTAACCAACTTTGACGAGCCATGCACGATTTCGTTCAAACTCTCTCAATTTTGAAAATACAACATTGTAAATACGCACATGATGAACACAAACTTACACACAACACAACAAATCCAAAATAACTATCAAAGTGACCTTATTCTTTTCTTCCTTGGCTTTCATAATCCCAGAATTGTTTAAAGCATTACCCAAAGATGTAGTTCGATCTTTTCTCAGAGGAAACAAAAACTAGGGAATCAGATACTAAGTTCACAGATGAGTTTGTTATGTCTTGTATTTCTTGCTAGATTTTGCTGGCAATGGTGATATGAACGGGGAGGAAGAGGGTGAAGTGCCGCTTTTGTCGGAAACCCTGAAAACAACTTACAGCATTGCCCGGTCTGTATTCCACTCACTAATTTGTAACCGTCAAGGTTCCTTTTTTGTTTCAGTGCGCCTTCAGAGGCATGATTCCAGACAATCACTGATAGTAATCAGCGATTGTTAATGATCACGGTTGACGAGATGAAACTTAAGAGTTGCCACCCAATTTAGCTTAATATCCCATCTGAGAAAGAGAAAAAATTGAGTCCGATACTGATAGACCCTATTTTATCAGCGTCTGATACCATCGGAGTGTATATATTTAACAAAAAGACTATGTGCAGAATGTGTTCCAGACAACCGCCATTTTTAAGACTGTTTCATATATTTTTGTTTTAACATTCAACCTACGTTTCTAATAGCATAGATGCACAGGGGCTATAAAACCAATAGAAATCCTATACGTTTATAGCCTATCCTGATTTCGATGAAATTTATCCCCTTCTTTCTTAAAAAGTAACGAACGAAGCATGTAAGTACCACTATAAATTTGCTATTGAAGCTTGGAGCCTTCAATAAACGATACCACACGGATCATTTATATCCAGTGCTCCTCTACACCATCCTGACCAAGTATCCATGATACATCACGATGCTCCATATCCTGTTTACGCAGCGCAATAAATCAATCAATAAACTTTATTTAACTGTCTAAAACTTCTAGTCAGCCCGGAAGCCGACTAATCAGGGACACTCGCAATAAAATTACAAATAAATTAAGTTAAGTTAAGTTAATTGAGTTAAAATTAGCTATCACTTGTTACAATATATATATATATATATATATATATATATACAGATCTAAAATTACATTTACATTTTAAAATACGGACTAAAATATAATAATTTCTACCTATACAACTATATACAAACTTCAAATACGTCTAAAATTCTAAACACACTTCGGACAATTCCCTGTACAGACGTAATTTGAAACTAGGTTCGCGAGGTCTTTTGTGCGGATGTTTGAGACGAATGATGTCAGAGTTAGCATTTGTCTGTCGCTATGTCCAAGTTTTGACAACAAATATGGTCCGAGATATCTTAGCTCTTTGTCGATGGTGACGCCCAGTAATTTAAGTTCTTCAGTAGTATTGATAGTGTGGCCATTGGTGTCGACAGATGTTAGGGATGGCTCTTGTTTCTTGCCGATTACCATGGCTCGGTATTTGCTTGTTTCCCACCACGTGATTTTCCTGGTACCACGATGACATTTGACCCCCTTCGATCCTAATTGTATTCATTAAGTCCTTGACATTATTGTGCGCGTAATAAAGCTGATGGTCGTTGGCGTTCATCGATAGAATTGACGCACGACTCAGGCAAGAGAGATCATTCTGGTAGATATTCCAGAGTAACGGGCCCAAATTGGATTCTTGGGGACAGCCCATTTTTATTTCTTTCCATTCACTAACCGCAGTTCCTAATTTAGTTCTTCCTTTAAGTTCTTCAAAGAATGAGTGTATCAGTGATAAGGCCCCTTCCGAGGAGCCGTCAGGCTTTAGTTTAACCAGCAGCAAGGTGAGATGCATCGTTTCAAAGGCCTTGCTCATATTAGTTGATAGTACGCCGACGGATTTACCGTGGTCAATTGCATGTTTCTAGTCTTCGACCAAACGAACCAATGTGGTCTCACAGCTGTACATTTTACGGTACGCTGACATGAAGGGGTCAAAAATCGTTTTAAAATTTTTTGACATCTGTTTACTTTGAAGCTGCTCAAATATTTTGTCAACCACTGTTAATACAGTTATGGGTCTATAGTTGGTCTTCTCCAGGGGGTCCTCTTTCTTGAAACTGGGATCCATTCTCCCTTTTTCTAGATATTTGGCGATGTCTTCTCTGTGATACATGGATTAAAAATTGTTGTCAGTGGGTCTGCAAGTTCTTGTGTCGCTATTTTCAAAGCGCGTGACGGTATCATGTTAAAACCAATGGCTTTGTTGGTATTCAAATTCTTGAGACTTAAAAAAGTTTCCTCTTTCGTGATTTTCCTGAAGATAAGGAGTTAGAGTTCCATCTACTGCGTATGGCGGGACGCTTGGGTGTCTATCACATTCTTCTGTTGTGAGATTCATTGCAGGGCCGTTATCAAAACTGCTTTCACCTAAAGTGGAAAAATAGTCAGCAAATTGCTCGGCTTCTGATCGTTGATCTTGTAATAGAGTTCCCTGGATGTGGAGTGTGATATCCGTTTTATCTTTGACCTTTTTGTTGTTGAGAAAAGGCGTGAAAGTCCTGTAGAACATCCGTACGTCATGCAGCAAGTCAACTTTCTCCTCTCCTGTATCAACCGTGAGCTATTCTAGGAGCAGTAAACTCCTACTGGATATAGATTGTGTGACACTGTAGGCGACACGATTGACGAGACAGACACCGGAAATTATTTTCTTTGTTCTTCTTTACTGCTTAAACAGACCCCTTAATTTCTTGTCTTGAGCTGTACTTTAAAACTTTCCTGAACCACTGACAGACCGCGTTCAGCTCTAAAATACACATTTTACTAGCTACTACAGCATCCGCGAGACTGCCTAATGTCTTTAGTACTGTAACCATCACTCGGTTTAGCATTTCTAAGATGCGGTCAGATGTTGATAGTGCCTTCCTTCTACATAGCTCGACAACTGTGCCATGTGACCCCTCTTGGTTAAACAAGTTGTCTCAGAACACAAGCATAAACATTTACTTACGAAACTATAAAAAATATCATAACACCAATGAATTTAAATTTTTCGACACGATAAATAACTAAAGCGGAGCAGTGAAAAGGCCAGGACAAAACCAGTTCTAAATCCTGAACATATCCAAGAATGGGAACAGTCCATCAGAGGCTATGAATAACACAAGGAAAATAAACAGCTTTACACTTCAGAAATTACAAACTTGATCTATGAGATAACCCTCTTGATAAAGATGCATTACGTAAATTACGGCAATTTTTAAGAATATTGGATAAGTTTGTCCTAACTTTCAACTTATATTTCTCATAACAGAAAGATGCACAGGGCCATGAAATTTTCAAAGACTATCAGTTAGCTCAGTTAAATTTATCCTTCGTCTCTAGTCTCTAGAATGGAGTTGTATGGTTGCTCAGTAGGTATGATTGTTGTCCTACACTTGTTTTGGCACTGAAAATTAGAAGGGTGAAACGTACATGTTTTGATTACCAGTGTAATGCTGAAATGTGGATTCTGGAGGAAACGCTAAATTGTAAAATTTTAGAACTTTTTTTTGGTTATTTAATGTTGCTATTAAGCTTTAGTGGAGATTCCAGAATGTCTTCCTTTTGAGGCGGGTCAGTCTGTCCTGGGCTGGCAGCAACATGGTGCAGGAAATTTATTACGGGATAAGAAAAGCCTTTAGTTTTACCACCCGCTGGTTCTTTTCCCTCAAGTTCAAGGACTTTAATGTTGCCAAAAAGTTTTCCGAGGATTTGGAGTTCTAAGGGCAGGATCTCAACAAAGGCATTGATCTGTCTTACAGCGAAGTCCGGGCTCAGATGGCATTCCTGTTGAGGTTTTACCGTAAGCGAAATCAGCGCTCTCTAACCACCTGCTCCTACGCCGGTGCTGGGAGTGGGTATGAGTATGGGCTGGGCTGGGTTGCTTAACCTTGCACGCACAAGAACCAAAATCAAAGTGTAGTGAGTCGTGGGCCGGGTTGTTCAAAGCTGGGTTAAGATAACCCAGGGTTAGTTTGAAATCTGATTTGAAATCTGAAAGCTTTAAAAGAAAATTAATTATAATGTTATTTGTGTTCAATTTTAAGATAGGATGCCCTAAAAAGAACAGAGAAAATTATCCAAAAGGGCATTTGAACAAAGTAATAAAGATAGCTAGATTAAAATTGAGCCCTGGCTGGGTTCGTGCTAATCGGCCTTGTAACAGCTTTGCCGCTCTGACGTCCCACATTTAGGTGGGCCTTTAGTTTCCATCATTTCCATTACTCCTGCGTTTTGACTTTTTCTACGAATAAAATTCGCCTTTAGCTACCTTGAACTTAACCCAGTCGCTTGTTAATTCCTTTTAAAACAACCTGCATTTTATTACTTATTTTTCACACGCAGGCAAAGTCTAGATGGGCAACAACCAATCAAGGAGCCCTCTTTGAAATATTATTGTTTTCTCTTGTTCAGTGTATCTTCACTTATTCGAGATCGCATTATATCTTTGGTTATGGTCTAGTAGAGGTACAACAGAGTTTCAATTTGCTTTTCGTAGTAAAATTACGCGGAATTTTTTTTTAGGCAACTTATTATAGACGAATAATTTTGATTTTCTCTATGTTCGAGGGACGGCGGTAAGCATTTCTTTTGCAACCGTTATTTGGTCTCGTCACGCAACGCACTCTCTCTCCAACGGGAAATGGAGGGCGTTGGCTGACGAGACTAAACAACAGCGGCGAAGTAGACAACAGTAAGCGTGGCACCGATTTCATTTTTACTTAGAAATATTTAGGTAATAGACCACAAAATATTTGTGTGAGTTCAGATAAATTAGGTTTTTTCTGTCTTTCTCTTAAGGTGAAGTGATGCGATATTTTCGTTCTTTTGAAAGTTATGCTCTTTTCAGTTGCAAAACTGAAAACATTAAGTATACAAACTGTCGCCTCTCAACCCACACAGCAAAAAAATTAACTTTTGCATGCTACGCATGCCTATGTTCTAATTTGTGTCAACTTACTTGTTTCGAATCAGTTATTTCAGTTTTTTTTTGGTTTATACATATTTCCAATCGAGATTGTATGTACCATCCGATTCTAAAATTTTGTATGTTTATACTACTATACTTGTATATTTTCACTAAAAGCTCCTGGATTAAATGTCCTCTGCGGCGATAAAACCATGACCATTGTCATCCCAAAGACCCTCCTCCGTGGTCTTGATTTAAAGAATCTTCGACTCCTGGACACCAAATGTAAAGGCAAAGAAGGACGGACCCACCTTAGCGTTACAACATCATTGACGGGCTGTAAAACTGTCAGCAGGTATACACCCACAGCTATCATCTACTCCAACACACTGAAAATACCCGTGGCCGCTAAAAGTGCTGTAACACGCGTACATGACATAAAAGTGCAGTTCAGCTGCTATTACTCAGCGCATGGTATAGTTTCATCGCTTGGTTGGACGCCAATTAAAACAACACTTGAGCTTCGAGAAAAGGCCAAAGGGAACTTGACACTGTCGTTGAGAATGTTTCACAACAAGGCATTTGTGAATTCTTACACGAAAGTTGATTTCCCTGTTGCTGTGGAGCTGCATAGACGATTGTACTTTGAGGTATCCGTGGCAACAGATGACAAAAAGCTGTCAGTCAGGGCTGATCGATGTTATGCCACGCCCACCCGGGATCAAAAGAATTCTCTGAAATATGAGTTTATAAAGAAAGGGTATGTTTAGTAATAAATTTTTTGGACACTTAATTTCTACTCCTTTTGAAAAATTACTCTTGGTTTATTTTGCGGTCACTTGAGACGTTTTCCTAAGCAACTAATAGTTAGTTACAAGTAAGTAAAATTGGAAACACTTCGCAATCTTGAATTCCATGATGATCAACATAAGTTAAAAAAAAAAAACTTTTGTTAAGGATATTCTTAGGCATAGTTTCACCTTCATCAAGGAAATTTGCTTTACTTTAGCTGCCCAAGTGACGTAACGGTGAAATATCATTCATCGCCTTCTTCTCGTGCTCAGCGGTTCAGCGTGGAAGCCTTTAAGTTCATTAGTGCTCATCCCTTTGTTTTCGTCCACTGCCAAGTGACTGTATGCAATGCAACCAACCCAGGTTCCAAATGCTCGATGAAATGTCCTTCAAGTGGCCGAGGGAAACGTGAGCTGAGTGATAACGTGACTTACGACGTGTACTCTTTAGTCCAGGGACCCCTGCACCTGACGCACGAGAAAAGAAAGGAGAACCGCAGGAGAATACTGGGTGAGACTGGTACGTAGATGAGCTGTTTCCGGGGACACATATTAGGGATGCATCCTGAGGATAAATTCTACCCCCGGCCCCCAGTACCCCATGGACCCCTCTCTGATGACTTTCCCCATTCCCAAAATGATTCACCCTTCTTTGTTTGTATATTTTTTCCCGACCTAATTACAAACTTATTGTTACGACATCTTAAACCAGCATGGTACAGTATGACGCTTCGCAAGTGAGGATTTTTCAACTTTGCAGTGAAATTTCTTTGGAATTAAGTCTAAATTCCCCCTTTTCTGTGACATCCCTAGGTTCCAGTCCTCACATTCCGGAGGCTCTGTCCGCTGACAATCATCACAAGTAGCTTCAAACTCATTTACACTTGGACTTGACCTGGACTTGAACCACTGAAGGATGTTTGAGCTGGATATTCGTGTAAAGGGTGTTTCACAAGTTCGTGCTCATTTTTCTAAAAGGTTAAATCTTACTTATTTTCGCATTCTGGAAGCCGTATCTTTAAAACAATTACCTGAATTTACTTACTTTTACAGAAATAATTTCTGTGGTGGCGAACCGACCATTAAAAAGCACTCGCTTTTCACGTAATTGTTTTTTTTCTTTTTTGTAATTTTTATATTATTACTTCAAGGTAACTGAAGAAACGTATTTGTGCTAAATCCTGTTATCCTTCTACTTCTCTAGCTCAAGCATACCTCTTATTTTAAGACGCTGAATAATCTCAAAAACTGACGAAAAAAATATGCGGAACAACATCAACAGCAAACAAATGTAACTTACAAACAGTTTTGATATTTAAGTTCGGTTTTTGAGATTACTCACTGATCTAACTCAAACAGGACTGTCGAAAAGATTTGATTTATGTAAGGGTGCCTGCGCCTATATTTTTCAGTTCTCCTTTTGTAGTACGGGATGACAGAACTGGCTCTTCAATCAGCTGTTAGTCGAAAAGGGATTGTGACTAAAAGGATTTTTAAACCCGTCTTTAGAGGAGCTAAGATGGTTTAAATACTTTTCTCTTTTAACGTTAAAAGGCGCGTTACAAGAGACGATAACCACTGAATGCTAGTTTGCCGAGTTATAGAAAAACTCAGAAGCACTTTTCTAGGAAATGAAGATGGTTTAGGATTGGCCATCCTTAGAAGTATTGCAGGTGATCAAGTTAAGAATTAATAGTATGACATCTTACTAATGAGCCAGCAGCTTTAAACGTTAATGATGCCGCATATAGTACTGTGATGGGACGGCAAGCAGAAGGTTACTGGACACGAAGATTTAGAACTTTCCTATTAAGGCGCTAGCACAAGACAATAATCCAAGATTGATTGAAGCTTCTGTTTTTGCCAGTCTTTGAAAATTGAAAAATAACTGCATTAAGCTTTTGAGGTACGGGATATTGAATCGAGGTTTTAAGTTTTACGGTAGTGATGAAGAGTTAATAAGGAACATCAGCTGGTTGACAGAGCCTTTTTCTCAAGTTTAATATTTTATTTTAAAGAAATGGTGAAGGGAAATGATGTGGGTACTAACTTACACATAAAAACAGACATAGTGCTCTTACATACACGAGTGATTGGATGTTACGAGAGCATAAGGTTGACCATAATGGATAAGATGTTTTCATCCCGGAAATTCTCTGCTCAAGATATTTCTGTTGTGGTGTTCAGTTAATACTTAGGTATCCTGCTGGGGAGCTGTTGCTTGAAAGTAAAATAAATTGAAGGAACAGAATTTTGCCCTCATTTATTAGATCACATTCAAGACGTAAAGTGACTCGTTGAGCCGTTGGGAAAAAAAAAAGCGGGAAAGGTTGAATCATTACCTTCGTCATTGTCGTTATCATTTGTAAATCATTTGAGCTTTTCTCGTAATTGGAATATATTTCTTAACATACAATAGAGATGTTATCTCGCCAGCTTTAGGTTCGGCAATCATCAGCCTCATTTCCTTGTTTACCTACCCACTTAGTTTCCACTTAGTTAAGGAGTCTCCAACGTTGCCCAAATCAGAGTGGCAGTCAAGTATTTGCACAACGTATTCGTAATGTTATAAGTGATTTGTCATCTACTTTTTCTCTTCCTTGTGGACTTTTAAATTCATCGAAATCGTTCACTAGGCTTTGTATCGTGATAGTACGGTGCCGTTCATAGCTGAAAGATGTTTTGTGACGTGTCTTTAAATTTTGAGCTGTTCAAAAACTGCAAATTATGGAAAGATTGTCAAAACGGACTTACAGTTAAAACCTACCATTTTAGCGTATGTCTCTTAAATTGTTGATAAGTCAGGTAACTTTCGAAACACTGTGAATTGCAGAACGTGATCAAACTATAGTTTTGAGTACTCCATTTCAGTCTAATTTTCTTTCACCCAAGATCCTGTGAGCCATTTGTGGGAAATAACGCCGGGGGGTGGGTGCACGCCTTCGCTTCGCTCACTGCTCACGCTTTAAATGGCAAATGAACGTTAGCTCCTTATCAATTGTTCCCGAAATGCATCATCAAAAGTGTTTTCATTTAATCGTTTACCCGTTTCGTAATTATTTGGTTTACTGACAATCCCATTCCTTGCAATTGAAAACTTTATTCTACGGCCCCCTTATAGGCATTCACGCTAAACAGAACTTTGTTTACATTTCCATTTGCAACCTACATTTTATTCACTTGTGCCATAAGATTCTTGCTCTTCTTATCATCTTTACCTCTTTCCCTTTATCAAAGGTGTTACTTGCCACCCACGATAGATTGCCGGTATCTGATGAAAAGTTAGACCAACGGGATTCGAAGCCGTTTATCCTAACAAATTCTTGTTCCTCCGCATTTTTTGAGAAAACTCGGCGGCGTTCTCTGAAATCGTTCTCTGCAATCAGAACGACCTCGCACACGCGTTAGAAGAATAAAAATCTTTTGTCTACTTATAATGATCTCGTAGCCATATCGCTTGTCATGCATACATTCCTAAAATAGTACAAAGATTTTAATGTGAGTTTGTTGACCGCCCCTACACGATTAAGAGCTTCTTCTAAAGGAAAGTCTGTCTTATCCGAAGGAAACACGGATCGTTGATTAAGTGATGGAGAAACTTAGCACAAAAGGAGTTATATTGAAATCTCAAAAATGTCCATGAGAATTCATCCCCACGATTTTTCTTCGCAAAAGGAGGACAGGAGGATATGGAGTTAACCTCAATTTGAAGAACCTAAGTAAATTTATTAGTAACCATCATTTCAAAAATAGAACAGAAGAATATAGCGTCATCCATAATTTGAAGAACTTGAATCCATGTATCAGTTAACAATCATTTCAAATTAGAAAGTTTGACTTCAGCGGTCTGTCTTATGACACGTGGGTGTTACACGACATCTGAAGATTTACGAGATTCCTCTTACTCTGTCCCAGTTGACAAGAACTGCGGAAAATATTTAAAGTTCTCTTGGAAGGGGGATTGTTTTAGTTTACCTGCCTTCCCAACGGTCTGGAATCTGCTCTACGACTTTTTTGCCAAACTGCTTAACCTTTCACATTAGTATGCAAATTCTCCTCACTGTTCTTTATATATTTCCTAATGTGCTGACAAGGAGAATTTGTTTGCTAATCAAAAGATTCCTTCCCTGGAGACCATTTCCTTTATTCTTAAGACCTTAATGCGTGATCCAGGGGTGAAACTGTAAAGAGAAATTAAATGCTAGTCACTCTAAGGGTATACAGGTCTAAACCTGTTTATTCTATAAGACTGGGGAGGGAAAGAAATTTGTACCAAGGGGGCGGTCGACGGTCAAAAATAAGAAGGGGTAGGGGTGGAGGAGTGAAGATTTCCCCGCCCCCCTCCCTGCATCAAACAAAACATGGCCGGTTGAATGAACGATCGCGAGCTAGTTAACGTTAACTCGCCCTCATAAGACGCCTGCAGTAAAGGCTACCCCTATTCTGCATTAGTGATAGAACTGTTGAGATCAACTGTGGGGGTTCATCTTCCTTTGATTTCTCACTTAAAGCCTCATTGCAAAAACAGTGGTCTTCGTCTCAGTCTTTCATTTATATTATGTCCACGTGAGTGCACAGTTCCTTCAAACGAATGATCTCGTCATAAATGTGACCCTCTACGGGAAAACAGAGAATAAGGTGAACGCAAGGCAGCGATTGCTAGGCTGGTCGCTCTAGTCAGGAAGGATCAAGAGACAACAAGTCCTTTTCCAGTCTTCTTGGTTCTCTTCAAATAAAATCATTAAAGCTTTGTTTTGCTCATTCTGCTTTTTCCAAAAAAGAAATATCGGTAAGCGCCCTGTCCTTGATAAGCGCCCTGTCCCTAATTACCGCCTTCCCTCGAATGAGCGCCCTCCTTTGAGGTACCAAAAGTAAATAAGCGCCCCGAGCGCTAAATCGAATCATTAACGAGCTTAAGATCCGACAACGGCAGACACCTAGGACGGCAGACTTGGTCGAGGGGGCTTGGGGAAAGGTCGCCGTTCCAATGGCGCGAAAAATAGCCTTAAGATAGCGCGCGCGACGGCGGCTGTAGTGGCTTTCCTCTTCGAAGTTTAGGAAAAGCGATGGCTACCTTTAGAAAGGCTCGTGAATTGTTGATCGCAAGTTTCGATGATGGTGACATTTCAGAAGATGAATTTTTACTGTTGTATGATGCCAACATTTCAAAGAATCTCGATTATCCTTACCAGAATTACGAAGATTTTGACCTGGAAGGACTCGGTGAAAGTGAGTGCTTGGCAGAATTTCGTTTCCGAAAAAGGGACATACCAATTCTCGCAGACGTAATGGGGCTGCCTGATTCGTATCGATGCGAACAAGGGACTGTATGCGATGGAATTGAAGGCCTTTGTCTTTTGTTAAGAAGATTGGCGTACCCTTGTAGGTACAGTGACCTTATCCATCGTTTTGGCCGCCCAGTACCAGAAATTTGTATGATCACTAATTATGTAATGGAAACTGTGTACAGCTTACATCATCACCGTCTGACAGCATGGAACCACACCTTAATGAGCCCCCCTCTACTTCAGAGATATGCTGATGCCATACAAAGGAAAGGAAGTCCCCTGCCGAATTGCTTTGGCTTCATAGATGGTACAGTAAGACCCATTTGCCGACCACAAGAAAACCAAGGAATTGTGTACAACGGACACAAAAGAGTCCACGGATTGAAATACCAATCTGTTGCATTGCCCTGTGGTATGATAGCCAACATGTATGGGCCAGTAGGTAATGGGAATTATTCCTTTCAAGTTTTAGCTGGAGCCCAAGTAATGGGCTCCTGGTTTTAGTCACATTAGAACCATCTGTCACGCGGTAAATCCAAACAGAATGATAAATAGGTGAAAGCAGTTTTTAGCGTGAAACATTTCAAGTAGTATAAATAAAATATACATTTTTTAAAAATTACAGAACACAATTTTCAATCAAAATGTGCATTTTCTTCCAGAGGGCCGCAAACATGATGCTGGAATGTTAGCTGATTCTGGCCTTCTGCAAGTCCTTGAACACCATGCTTTTTCGCCGACTGGTAACCCCATGGCCTTATATGGTGACCCTGCTTACCCATTAAGAGTTCACCTTGTTGTGCCATATCGTACAGCAGGTATCACTCCTCAGATGGAAGAGTTTAACAAGTCGATGAGCAGTGTCCGCATTTCAGTAGAGTGGCTTTTTGGGGATATTGTTAACTATTTTAAATTTGTTGATTTTAAGAAAACTCAAAAGATATCATTGAGTGCGTTAGGAAAGATGTATATTGTATGTGCAATTTTAAGGAATGCCATGACTTGTTTGTATGGCAATTTCACATCAAATTTCTTTGACATTGACCCACCAACCCTTCAGGATTATTTTTCCTAACAATTAAAACTATTTGTACCCTGAAATGAATTTCAATGATAAATTCATGTGAAATACACAACTAGTCAATAAGATGTAACAGTGTATGTCTGCAACCTGCCAACAAACTACTGTTTAAAGTTTTGGTATTTATTCTTTAGTATTTTTAGTCAGGTCAACTGATGTATAACAACAACTATAATTAATGTAAGAAGGGTTCAGAATCCATTTCAGAGGGTACAAGGTATAATAACACCAGGGTGAGAGCAGAGGAGAATGGGGAGCTTCCCAAAATATGCACAGAGAATGTTCCAAAACTGCAACAGACCCTCCCCCCACCCCCATATCAATCCTCTCTAATCATATAAAAACGTAGTCAAAAGGCCATAAAATTTGAACAAAACAACAGCATTTAACGCATTCAGTTACTCAATGCTTTTCTAAAAGTCTCAAAATGATTTGTGACTGCTGTTGTTGCATGGCAACAAACATCTGCTGAAACTGTTGCATTTGATTCTGTTGCTGCTGGACTTGCTGGGCCATCATTTGCATCATTTCTTGATGTTGCTTTTGAGACTCATCTTGCTTTCTTCTCTCTATGTCCAGGCGCTGCATGTGCAATTCCAACTCTTCAGCTTTCCATTTCTGAACCATATCATTCTTCTCACGCAGATACGCCACTGTGTCCCCACCACTCCTCCTTGTGACTTTTCGCTTAGGTTGTGCATTCTCTACATCCTCGACTTCATCACCATCCTTCCTTTTCTGTGTTGAACGCATGCTCTCCATTGCTCTATTCCGCATCTCGACAGCTTTGGCACTATCCTCTTTTTTCTTGTCAACTTCCAGACTATTTTCAGCATCAGCCTCCTTTTCCAGTATTTCCTCCAAAGCTTTCTCAACATCATTCATGTCAGTCTCAATGCCACTAGCCTTTTTCTCTTCTTGTAACTTTTTCTTTAATTTTTCAATGAGTAGTGTGTAACGCTCTCTCACTGAGCGCTTGTTAACTTTAAATCTTGGAATTTTCAGGGAGTTGAGATTACTGGCAATTTTTTCCCAGATCTGCCCTCTTGCGATACTTCCCTTTTTAGCTTTAAAGGGTTCTAGAGCCAGAATTTCTTGACAGAGAGAGTGGTCATGATCATCTGTCCATTCCATGTTAGATCTACATTTTAAGAAAATATAATATGGATATTTAAAAATCCTGGTGAGTCTGCTAACTAAGCTTCAATTCCAACTGCTTAGTTCAGTCAAGAACTCTCCAAAGTAAATCAGAGCAGTCTTGTTTATGTGTGTTGTGGTTAAAATTTTTGTTTGCGGGTTTAAAAATGCTCAAACCACGTTAAGTTTTTGTTTCCCTTTGTCTCAGGTTATGGTAATAGATGCGAGAAAAAGGATAATAACAATAAAAACAGAATAAAGAATGAAAAATGGTTTAAAACTTTTTAAATTGACACTGGAAAAATTTGAATCACAACATGGACATGTATGCAAAGCAGCATAATACAGGTATAAACTTATCATTATGATAAATGTTTAACCATTTCCGACAGCAAATTTTTCACGCTTAATCTAGGACGTTTCTTTACGGCTGAAAAAACATCACCGAAACTGTTGATTATAAAAACGTTCTCAGATGATCCTTGTTGTTGAACTCGAGAAAAGACAAATGGAATAATATCATGGCCATCAATTTATGCACGAAGAAGTCTACGAATTTTTAATTGAAATAAAGAAATTATTAAACTTACTGGGTTGCTTTCTTTCTTGACTTTGAGCCAATACTAGTAACGAACTGTTTATGAGAAAGGCAAACGAATATAGTTAAAATTTCCTCGAACAAATAGTTTATTTTTGCTTGGCTATTTCACAGACATCCTCTCATAACAATAAACGGTCAAAATTGCCAACAATTTTCGCTCAAAGTAAGTTCAAACGGCGTTATTTTGCAAAAGTTTACTCACGTTTTAGCCGCGACGGCAAAATGGCCTCCTTCACGTCACAGACGAGGCCGCTACGGCGGGAAACCTCACAACAACGGCAGCCGGAAGTAATTCTGGCGGTAACTTCACTTCCGCTTGCCGTCCCAGATGTCTGCCGTCGTCGGATCTTAAGCTCGTTATTACGGTGAATGCCACGGCTGAAATTATACAGGGTCTATGAACACGCTTATTAAAATATCAAATCATACACATATACCCAAAGAAAACTGTCTATCAGCCCTTTCACTAACAGAAGGGAATCACATTCAGCTCCTCCTTACAATAACCTCACGTCATCCGACAAAGATGTGTAATGAGAATAGTCAAATATATCCGCTACATGCTAGTTTTATCTCGGTATAAAAAATGATTGGAAGCTACAATCGTGAATTAATAATCACATCTTGGAAAAAAATATACTTAAAATCATGAGGTTGAGGGTCAGTGATGACTAGCCTAGAACCATGAGTGAGATTGTTACAAAAGAAAAAAATTCCTAAATTGATATGATTTGTTCACCAAGAAAAACCGAAACTACATTACATTCGTTTGAGTATGTTTCAGGGTCTAAAAAGACCTAAAGTGAAAAACTCGACAAAGTGGCATAAAAACGTCGCCAACAAGGTATATGATTCTGTGTCTTACCTAAAACGTATTATGTGTTAAACTGTTTTATAAGTAATTTCTTAAGGAAAAAAAGAAAACCCACATCGCAAACAATCCAGAAAAAAGACGAAATCAGATTATACACTTTGCAGTAGACCTCTCTTGAAAGTAGGATTGTTCAAAACTTTACGCCCAAACCAAGAGAAAGTAAGGAGGTTATTTCCTCAGGCCTGAGTTGATTCCGCAAAATGAACGTGGAAACAAGTCAAGAACATTTGCATCTGTTTTATAGAACAATCAATCGATATCCTATTTTATAATCCATGACGCCGGACTCTAGCTTGACGTATGAAAGTCCTAGACCTAGAGCTGCAATGCGTCCTTCAGTGCTCACTGCAATCTTATACAGGAAATAGCCACTTTTGTAGATAAAAACGCTTCGTACAAACTCACCATCTTTGGTGTATATTCCAATACAGAGGAGCTCTTTTTCATCGTCAGTACTAGCCAAGACGACTTGTTGACTTTCCCTGTGAAATGCAATGTTTGGAAAGTGAACAAACCCTTTGAGATCAAACTTACTTAGATGATCACCGAGTTCGCTAAATATGTGTACACAATGGGAAGGCGTTTGGTCCACCACCATAACTCTGCCATCACTTACAGTGCTGATGTCTCGCGGGCTCTTCAAATTTTGTTCTCCAAAACTGCAAACAAACTGGCCATCAGTCTCGTATAGATCCACAAAATGATAGTCCTTTGTATAATTGCCTTTCAATACCATCACTTTGCCACTATCACTAACTGACAGTTTACACAGATTGCACTCGAGGTCCATTGTCCTCTCGCGAAACTTGTGATACTGGTCAGCGGATTTATCAAACTTAAAAATCCAACGCTGATGATTCTTTTCTTCAACCAGCACATAAATTGTTATCGCCAGTTTAACCTTCAAGTTTTCTGTAAGTAGCTCTTTACCATTGTCATCAATAAGAGGAGGAAGTCTGAAACACTTCACAAATTTGCCACTATTGTCAAACACCTTGATTGTCAAGTCATAGTCGGCTACAATATATTGCCCGCTTGAGTTGGTAGCGATATCTAGCGGATTATTGATCCTGTGCTCCTTTTCACCATCCTGACCAATTGTCCATGATAGATCACACTGCTCCATACCTTGTTCACGTAGTAATAGAGCCAGTCTCCTGTCATGCAGTAAGTCAACTTTCTCCTCTCCTGTATCGACATTGGGCCACTCCAGGAGTAGAAGCCCTCTGCCGCATATCGCTTGTGTGACATCGAAGGCGACACGATTGACGCGACAGACACCGGAAATGATTTTTACTCGTTCTTCTTTGTAAAACAAACCCATCACCGCACTGATTCCTGTCTTGAGCTGTACTTTAAAGCTTTGCTAAACCATTGGCAGACCGTTTAGCTCTTTAATACATACTTTACACAGCGCTGCAGCATCCGATAGATTGTCTATTGCCTCTAATACTGTTGCCATCACTCGGTACTGCATTGTTAAAATGCGGTCAGTTGTTGATAGTGCTTCATTTGAAAATGCTATCGTTGCCATTTCACGGGCACGTTTGAATCTCTTCTTCGCAGTAGAAAGCTTTCTTGTGGCAGATTCAGTAAGCTCCAAATTTCGCATTCTTTCAGCAAGCGACACAACTTCCGCACAAGTCGCTTGTGCTGTATCCGCGCCAAACTCACTCTTTGACCTTGTCTCGTCAAATCCTTCATACAACAACTTGATTCCTTCTCTAAAGAAGCTGATACTTGCTAGCAAATCTTTTCTTGATAATCCATCCAACTTGGAGCTCATGTCGTCGATTTCACTCATGATGATGTTACGAAATTGTTTATGCGTTACATCGCTTAGCTTTTCGACTGCTTTATCTCTGCCTTTATGCACAAGCCATCCAAAAGTCGCTTGAAAAACTGCAATAGGGATCACAGCCATGATAGCAATTGAGGAAAATCAGAGGAAAAATACGTTTTTAACGGGACTCGATAGAAGTTGCTTGACTACAGCAAATGAGTGTAACATTAGGATTATCGAATTCCTCAGCCGTCAGCAACGCTATTGGCAGTTGTGTTAATCTGCAGCGCAGCCCGTTGTGTCACTCGAAACCAAGGTCAACACTGCGGTTTAATTAGTTAATACACCGGTGCGATAGATGTTTCGGTTGTGATTGTGGATTGAAGAGTTTGGAGTGGGGAGATAAGAGGCAGTGAAATGAAATAAAATTTGAAAATAAAGGAACCAATAAACAAAAAAAAAAGCGAAAGGAAGGCCATGATGTTAAAAATGAAAAGGCAAGTCTAGACAGTTTCAAGGAAAAAAAAAAGAAAAAAAGAAAAGAGCCTCTCCATGTACTGTTCTCGGCAAATTATTTCCCTGTTCGTTAGGTGAGGTTCAGGTTCTGTTTTCTTGAAATAAGCTTTCATTTTTTCATTAATCTAATTATTGATTTGTTTCTTGTGTTAATTCGAAACTGTTCCATCGAGAGATCATAAGCAGTTTATATTCTCTTGGTTCCATACGATAAGTTATTTCAAAAGCTCTTAAATTCCTATAAAACTTGTTTTTGATCTCCATGAGTCCAATTTAAATTGAAGATAAATTATCTTGCACACAACACCAAAAAAAATAGTTATCTTTCAAAGTGAGTTCTTCGAGGCATATGTTCTTAAGTGCATCTAATCATTTTCTAGTCTGTCATTTGGTTATGAACGCTATTCTTTCTTTCAGGAAGGAGGAGGAGCACCTCAACGTGACTCATATGTTTCAAAGCCCATCAATGTTTAAATGCTTCAATATATATTTCCAATTTTAACGTACTTCATCAATCTGCAGTTCACTGTCGTCGACCAATTTTTCTCGATCTGCAGTCCCGCCCCACGTGATGTTCTACTTTTGACCTCAAAACCGAAATAATGGTCGTTTTATTTTGAAGTCGGAAAGTTACATTGCACGATCCCGTTCGTTTGCAGCTTAGGCAGGTGTTTCAGATTCAGAAGCAATTAACAGAAACCTCAACAAGGAAAAAGCGAAGATACAAACGCCGGCAGGGATTGGAGAACATAACCGATAACGAAGGAAGCAATCAGATTAATTATGTTAAGTTAAAAATGTTTTTAAAGTATTTTTGACCTCGGGGATTGGATAACGATTAAGAGGTCAACTGCTTTAGATGATATGTTTTGTCTCTGCTTTATAACATAAACTGCGTTGCGACTGAAACTTTCCACCGACGGAAGGGGTTCTCCTTTGTATAAAGCCCAAGTCATAATCACCTCTCGCCTCTTACCTCTACTAAGGCTCTGTAGACTCGAGGAATAAATTTACTGGGCTAAACCTTCAACTTATCACCAATCTTCACACTACTCTCATATTTGCTATACGCGTTGGCATTTCAGAAATTAACGGAATGACTGGTGGCTCTGCTACAGTTGGGTAAACATGGCCAAACTGCCGGAAAGAACTTATCGTTATGTCCATTGTGCAGCTCTTGAAATTCTTAAGAGGTGTACTGAAGCTCCATAGATCTAAAAGTTTAATTTATTTTCATATTCATTCTAGTCTCCTCTTTCTACTTGGCTTAAAAACTGGGCCGTGTAACCCTTGAGATTAAAGAAGTTGTCTTTATTCAGTTCACTGATTTTCACTCGCCAAGGTTTAATTCATGTGCCTTTAGTGCGACGAAGTAATACGTAAAAAAACAACAACAACAACAACAATAATTTAAGGTGATTTCTTTGTAGACCTGTTAGGGTCACCGAGTGATAATCGTTTGAGATAAAACTCTGTCGAAATCACCGACATTTTAAAGATTGTTTGAGAAGTTTTTTTTTCTTTTTTCGCTCAAACGTTCACCTCACAGGTTTGATAATAAAGAAATAAAAAGGTTCATTAAACCAAAAGGTTACCTTTAATTTAATAGCCTTTTCCAAGTTCAATTAAATTTAATTATATCCCGTCTCTCGCACAGTTTGAGGGCTTCGAGACAGTTTTAGGAGTGGTTATATTTAAGAAAACAACTGGGACGATCAAATAAACAAAACAATGTGGTCATATAATCACGAGGTCGATCTAATGCGTGACGAAAGACTCTTGCAGTGTATAGATAGGCCAAATTATTTCCAGTCTCTACTCGTTTATCTTTCCGGTGCAATGAATTTAAAACAGTGACTTTCCTTGAGTTTTATTGTATTCTTTTCTACAAAAACCTTAGAGTATCAGCAATGTTTTCCAATTCTAAAGGGAACATCATTCAATTCAAATATAACAGTATGATGAACATTCCTGTATTTTCTAAGCATATAATGTGTATTAATCCTTCTCCTTCCTTTTTCATGCATTTTGGGAATAGTTTTACCGATTAGTTAAAAAATTTTAAATATCTTCTCTTGATTTTTTGCTGTTAATTGATGTTCCCTTGTAACACCATGAATTACTTTTATATCATAATACTCTCTATAATATTCAGACTTTCTTGAAAATCTATATCTATCTTCATGAAAATTAATAAATTTATTGTCATGCTCATATCCATCGATTTGACCACATTTTTAATACAGACATATTTTTTATTTTTATTTTATTTTTCATTTCCGGACAACATGGTACAATCCTAACGACTCTTTCTTTAATCTGTCCATTACAAAATGGACAGATAACTTCATCTCTATAACCATGTATTTCTTCACTACAATTCATTGTATGTATTTAAGTTAGAAATTTACAGTATTTTTCGTAAGTTTGGGTCTTTTTAATTCATCTAATATTTCTTGAAATAATTTAGCTGCTTCTTCTTTAGTTTCTTCATTAATTGTTTTGACATTATTTTTACCATCAATGAAAACAGCATCTTTTAATTCTGAGTAATCAATGAAAGGATCTGTATAATCACAATAATTATTCATAAACTAAAATACAATTTTTAATATATTACACGCTATATTATAAACAATTATTGGCTGAGGCTTTTGTCATATCCAGATTAATCAAGGTCGAGGTAGGGGTTATCAGCCAAAGCCTTCGGCTTTGTAATAACCCCCCAAAAAAGGTCACGACAGTAAGTAGACCTGATAAATTATTTCTAAACGTGTAAAATTATACAAATCAGCAGGTAACACAAAGCGCGCGAACTTGATACCGTTACCCTTAGAAATCATGCCTCGCGGTCATACATGACATGATTAGTCGTGACCTTGAGTGTCCTTAACATGATTATTGTATAATCTACAGCTAGATGACGTCCCAGGCACTGATTTCGAAAATTCACTCTACGCTTTTGGCCAATCAGAAAAGAGATAGCCAGTTGAATGTATAATAATAACAATAAGATGATGTCAATATATCATAACCACAGTGACATGAAACATCAGACATTTTCACCATATTATAACCATGATGTGATAATGTCACGTGGTAGCAACGGACACACTCCTTCAATATATTACAAACAAAAATGATGGCGTGACATATAAATGACGCATATCTTCCGGTAGAGTAGTAGTCGGGTGGTTAGAGCGCAGTTTTTTCGAAACTGCGTTCTTACCCCAAACTACTATAATACTACAATCGATCCATATCTCGTAAAGTCATATCTAAGTTCGTTATACTGCTTGACAAACGGAGTTCCTAGAGCTGCAATGCGTCCATCAAGGCTCACTGCAATTGCACTCAGGGTATAGCCAATATTGTAAACAAAAACGCTTCGTACAAACTCACCATCTTTGGTGTATATTTCAAAACATGAGAGCTCCTTATCATCGTCAGTACTAGCCAAGACGACTTGTTGACTTTCCCTGTGAAATGCAATCTTTGGAAAGTGCAGAAACCCATTGAGATCAAACTTGCTCAGATAGTCACCGCATTCGCTAAATATGTGCACACAGTGGGAAGGAATTTCGTCCACCACCATAACTCTGCCATCACTTACAGAGGTGATGTCTCGTGGGCACTGCAAATTTTGCTTTCCAAAACTGCGAACGAAGCGACCATCAGTCTCATAAACATCCACAATATAATGTTTCTTTCTCCAGTCACCCTTCAGTATCACCAGTTTACCACTATCACTGACTGACAGTTTACACAGGTCAAAGTCGAAGCTCATTGTCCTGAAACAAAACCTGTGATGCTGGTCAGCCGTTTTATTAAACATAAAAATCCAGTATGAGTCCTTATGACTACATTCTCTAACCAGGACATAAATGTTGTCATTCATGTCCGTGGCCAGCTGAACCCAATGGATATCAATCGATAGTTTTCTTCTATTGTCATCAATAAGAGGAGGAAGTCTGAAACACTTCATAAGCTTGCCACTATTGCCAAACACCTTGATTGTCAATTTATGGTCGGCTACAATATATTGCCCGCTTGAGTTGGTAGCGATATCTAGAAGATTTTTCATCCTTTGCTCCTTTTCACCATCCTGACCAATTGTCCATGATAGATCACAGTACTCCAAATCTTGTTCACGTTGCAATAGAGCTACTCTCCCATCATGCAGTAAGTCAACTTTCTCCTCTCCTGTATCTACATTGGGCCATTCCAGAAATAGAAGCCCTCTGCTGCATATCGCTTGTGAGACATCGTAGGCAACACGATTGACGCGATAGACGCCTGAAATGATTTTTACTCGTTCTTCTGGGTAAAACCAACCCCACACGGCTCCGAATCCTGTCTTGAAGTGTACTTTAAAACTTTGCTGAACCACTGGCAGACCGTTTAGCTCCTTAATACACACTTTACACGGTGCTACAGCATCCGATGGGTTGTCAATTGTCTCTAATACTGTTGCCATCACTCGGTACTGCATTGCTAAGATGCGGTTATTTGGTGATAGCGCTTCATTAGAAAAGGCATCTGTTGCTCTTTCACGAGCTCGTTCGAATCTCTTCTTTGCACCAGAAAGCTTTCTTGTGGCAGCTTCAGTAAGCTCCAAGTTTCGCATTCCTTCAGTGAGCTGCACAACTTCCGCACAAGCCGCTTGTGCTGTATCTGCGCCAAACTCACTCCTTGACCTTGTCTCGTCAAATGCTTCATACAACAACTCGATTCCTTCTTTAAAGAAGCTGATACTTGCCAGCAAATCTTTTCTTGATAATCCATCCAACTTAGAGCTCATGGCTTCGATTTCACTCATGAGGATTTTACGAAATTGCTGATCTGTTATATTGCCAAACTTTTCCACAGCTGTATCTCTGAATTTATTCACAAGCCATCCAAAAGCTGCTTGCAAAACTGGTGTTGAGATCATGGCCATGATAGCAACTGAGGAAAATCAGAGGAAAAATATGTTTTGAACGAGACTCGATAGAAGTTCCTTAACAACAGCAAGTGAGAATTATCGAATTCCTCAGGTGTCAGCAACACAATCAGCAGTTGTAATAATTTGCAGTGCAACCGATCGTGTCATCCGACACCAAGATTAACACTGCGGTTTAATAGACCTTTTTAGAGGGTTGCGCCTAAATCCTACCGGCCAGAGATACGCCCGAGTGACGAGTTTCCGACTCGGGTGATTATCGGAAATTGTCGGCTATTACAATAAGGCGGACTATTTTTACTTCGGTTTGCTCATTTTACTTTTCTGCACTCCAAATTAGTCATGCACTCCTTGGAACCACTTTTTTCATGAATATGTTTACATTTTGTTCTCTCTTATTTAGTCTTCA